TAAATATTTATTTCAATACTGTTTAATAAATCATTTATTTGAAACAAGTAAATATTTGTTTGTTTTGAAAAGGATTTTCTTATATCAAATAAATATTTTTCATAATCAAATCAATATTATTAGTCAGTATTGAAATAAATGTTTATTAGAATTCAATAATTTTTTTTTCAGTGTATCGATGACATTTTTTTCACAATGTTAATTTTTAATCTAATTTTCGATCATTCTATTGTATTACTATTAAGATTGTTATTATTTTTTTACGGCTAATTAAAAGTTAGTAACGTAAATTATATGACAAACTTTTAATTAAAGGCAAGAGTCTTATTATACAGTATCTTTCCAAAAGGTAGGATAAAAATAGATACGTATGAATGAACATGTAATAGAGTATATTATACATGAATGACATGATCGTTATGACTGGCAACATCTTTTTTATATACGTAATATGAAAAGGAAACGATTGAGATAATTGATGCAAAAATATGCATTTCTTCGTGACGCATTCAACGTGAAATTACGAAGCGTGGGATCATATGTCTGAGAATGCGTGCAATTTATTACACACATATGTATATGCATTATATAGTACATTTTATATATGTATGTATTTTCAAATTTATTGAATTTTTTATAATATTTATAAAAAATTTTTTATTCAATAAATTTGTATATATGTACATATATATATATATATATATAATATATAATATATGTACATATATACAAATTTATCGAATAAAAAATTTTTATATTATAAAAAATTCAATAAATTTGAAAATACATACATATATAAAATGTGCTATATAATGCATATACATATAATGTGTGTAATAAATTGCACGCATTCTCAAAAATTTTTTATTCAATAAATTTGTATATATGTACATATATTATATATATCTATATATATATGTATATAGATTGCAATAACCGCAAAGCATCTTGTTCTCATTTAGACGCAAAGTTAATTTTCAACCGAAGAATTACGCAATTTTTGTACAATAGGGTCGGTGCGCATATCGCGGCAACTCTCTTGTCACCTTAGAAAAAAGATTGAGAGGCAGTTGGCGTCGCGCAATGACACGTGCTCAATTTGACATCTATATGATACGTCGCGTCCGGTTCGCTATTTGTGCTCACCTTGTTTGCAAACGTCAGATCGCGCGAGCGTTATTATGCAATAATGCAAGATCGACGCGGTATCGCAATTCTCTTTTCTCTCTTTCCTCTCGATAGACGAGTGAAACGCAACCGCGAAAGTATGCTAAGTGTCTGTATAGGCGCTCTTTGGCGCTAACTCCAAACAGCCGGTCGCCAATTTTTTCTTCCCCGGCGGGCGCAAATTAGAAAACTTGGCGTGAAAGAGGAAGAAGGTAGTCCGCTCTTCCCTCGGACTTGTTCCGCGTGCTTTCGGTTCGCGTTTCGTGCGGTACATAACTTATATTTATACGTGTAAACTTCGCTTTCCCGCCGCGAAGGGGCTCCTCTTTCAAATTGAGGAACACTAAAGACCGTGCGAGTTAAGGTCGAAGTTGTTAACTTCATATGCTTAAAGTTAAATTGAAAGCGTTCATAAGCGTTCGCTAGACTTCTCGATTAAGTTTGCGAGCTAGATTGTCTTGTTCGATTATGTTTTCAATTTCGAAACACGCGTGCGTAAACTTATACATATTGAACTCTCTCTCTCTCTCTCTTCTCGCGGAAAATGACATCTTCATTTATCCGATCGCGAGTGACAACTAAATACACTTTGCTACATATGCGTATACAAGGTGTCCGGTAACTAACGGACCAACGATTACAAATGGATTCTTTGATCAATTTGGGAACGATTTTTCCTCAGCGAAAATGTCGAAAAAGGTCATCATTTTTTATAACTTTCCAATATTTGTCATTATGTATCTTTATAACTAAGCCTCAAATTAAAATTTTATTATAGTAAACTCTACCTGAAATTAACCGAAGAATGTAATTATGTTAGACTTTTAACTCCAAAACGTTTAGTTTTCAAAAAACCCATTTCTTTCAATCGCTTATAACTCGAAAATTATTGACTTCTCAACATTTTTGCTAAGGAAAAATCGTCTCCAAATTGGCCAGAGAATCCGCCTTTAATCATTGGTCCGTTAGTTACCGGACACCCTGTATATCGCCTGACGATTGCGCAACGGCGACAAATCTCACAATATTAATTCATTGCCATGGTGTTAATGCACCAATGCTGTGGCTACACGCGCGATGTCACTTCACTGACGTCTAACCGTCAGGTGCAACGTTCACGTGCAACACACTTTCCGGCACTTTCTTTCTCTCCGCGGGTGCACCGCTTATGTAATACGTGATGCGCGTTTCTCGACCGCGTAATATAAATAATCGAGCGTGTCGGCGCGACGGCGAGATATCCCCGTTACCTGTCTCATACCGATTAAAAAGGAGACACTGGTCGCGTTCGGCCAAAGTGCAACTTTCGATCGTGCGCGCGAGAGAAAAAAACAGTCCGCGAGTTTCTCAAAAGGCCGGGTATACGTGCCTTTCCATACGCGAAGCCCCATTAATATGAAACCCGAACTTTGGGCTATACTCCATGTAATCTAGAATTAGCCTGAGCTCCTACTCTCTCTCTCTCTTGCATGTAATAGACATATAACTTCTGTCGTTGATCGAACTTTTCGAAAGTCGTAACTGCAATATACGCGATTAGTAATATATATATATATATATATTCCTCGCGGTAGTCTCTTTCAGTTCAATACAGTTTGCATCAGTTATATACCTATACAGCGAGAACTTAAACTAGGTTTCTCAGTCGTCGAGATTTAGAGGTATAATTTGTTTGTATATATATTACAATTCACTTTTAATCTGTTTATGCAACATCTATTCGAATCGAGAGAATTTCCATTAACATTTGCATCGCTATAGAATACATTATTGTTACCAAGATATTAGTTTCCTGTACCGAAAAAAATTTTATTGAATTCAAATGAATATTTATTTCAATATACTGCTAATAAATCATTTATTTGAAACTAATGATATTGATTTCATGTAAAAAATATTTATTTGATATGAAAAAAATCTTTTCAAAACAGATAAATGTTTTGTTTCGAATAAATGATTTATTAGGCATTATTGAAATATTTATTAATTTAATAATTTTTTTCAGTGTACAGACATAAAAATTCAGGAGAAAGCTCTTTTATATTTGTAGTATGTTACTAGAAATCGTAAATTTCTTCAAAAGAATAAAGTTTCTGAGAACAAAAAATTCTATATAACGTTCTAGGATTTACTAGGGACATTTTTAAGGATTATCGTCGCTGTATGAACGGATTTTATTTTCCGCGAGAGGCTATAAGAGGCTATAAGAGGTTGTGTAATTAATTACTGTGTTAAAACTTGCCACATGCTGGTGAGTGTTTAATTACGACGTATCTTTTTTATCGTATCACGTCATATATTAATTTAAACAGATTTGATTTTATAGACATCGGAGTGAGAATTATTTGACAAAATAAAATTTTCCATCCAATCGGATCGCGATATAATATGCGATTGCAAAACTTCTGCATCAATTGCTATAACTATATTACGGAAACGTGCAATTATGCCTTTCGCAAATACGAATCGTTCCGTGTTTGTTTGGAAGCGAATGTATAAGCATATATATACATATATCTCACACAATTTCGCTCGGATATTGTAAATCAACATCGAGTAATATCGATAGATGGACTCGGAATTTTCCACATGTTTCTATCGTTCATCAATTTCGTCACGCGGTGCATACTTTGTAAAAAATCAATAAAGCGGAAACTGCATAACGGTGCATTGCATGCATCGAAGTAAATAAAGCTTTTAGAATACACTCTGATGTTGAATATTGATGTAAATGTTTCGGACTTTGGCGATATTGCTTGTTTTATTTTCGTTGGAAAGAAATTGATTGCTCTTCACTATAAAAAAATCATTGATATTTTAATTCAAAACTATTGTGTGCACATAAAAGAAATTTTACAGTAGAAATTACGTAAAAAAATAATGTTATTTTTTTACAACACTCGTAAAGGAAATATAACGATATTAGAATATTTATTACCATAAAAATTGTAAATTATACTTGTTTGTCAACAAGTATGAATTTGTGCATTTAAAATATCTGAATAATACTCTTTTGAAAGTATCACATGTATATATAATATTATTGAATAAAAATATCGTGATTATATGTAATTTTTATTATAATATTTTTTTTAAGCATGCATCTAGACTATATAGTTCAACAATTCTTTCATTAAGTCATTATTATTTGAATATACACATAAAAAAGCAATTTGATAAAATTATATCCAAATTGAAAATGAATATATTTTTGATCGACAGAAAACAAATGTTGCTGGAGATTTCGATTCTTCAATATCGCAAAAGACTTAACTTAAGTATTCAGGTATTCGCGTATATAAAAGGAGGAGAGATATCTTCGCGTTTCTGCAGAAAGTACGGAAAGCTAGTTTCATAAGTTCTGTCGAAGCATCGTGTCCCGGAATGAAATTTTCCAAGTTGTGTCATTAGATAGCTCAAGTGTTTCACTCTTTAAATTATATATGTATGCATGAACAAAATTTTTCTGGGTCATTTAAAATGTTATCAGAAACTGCATGGCATCCTATATACACGTGTGCATGTGTGCGTATGCATATATGTAAATGTATATTAAACACAATTTTAAGCAGCATAAACAGGTAGCGATATTATATGCACTCAGATCAATATTTACGAAATCGAGTTAAACAACAACAATATCATTGTGGTGTGTTGTTGTAAACCCTTTCAGCTGAATTGATGCATTTATAGCGATATTGAATTGCGCACTTGTGAGAGAAGTCATCGTAAAATCTATTGCCCGAAAACGCCAGACCAGTAAATCCCATCCGGCTATAAACAATTTATTAGTGGCGCGTTCAGGCCGTAAGAGAATTTTTAAGATTACTCACGAGAGCACGTAAAATTTGGGATCCCGCCAGGCACAGTAATTGCTTGATGGCACGGGCTTTACCGCAACAACGTGAATCTTCGGGCCGCTCGATCGATAGGTCGAATTGCCCTCGCGTTCGACCCTATCAGCGCTGGCCCTTAGCATCGAGGTCAGAGATGCGCGATCACACGTACCCGGTAGGCAGAGACCCAAAAACACCTGACGTGTCTGGAAAGAAAATAATGAAACGATGTTAGAGTGTGAGGACTATGTTCTTTTTTCCCTCTACGAAAGTTATGTCATTAATAAATCTTGTTGCGAAAGAGAGAGAGAGAGAAGCAAGATTTTTTCCCTCAACATTTTTATACCTCTCTACTTGTTGCGAAGTTTTTCTACTATCCAAAAAAAATATTAATGATTTATCTAAAGATGTGTATGTGTGCGTATCGATTTATTGCAAAAAATTCTGGCAGAAATACATTTCTTGAAAAACGGCTCACATCCCCTGCACCATATGTTTCATTGTTTACGTGGTTTTCCACATTAAAAAAAGAAAGATAAACGATGAATATTGCAATCTTTTTTCGGCGACTAATCCAATCCGGGGCAAATCTCTTGCCCCGATTAAAAGGATTTTTTTTTGCGCGATTTTTTCGGATTTTATAAAAAATACAGCGAAGTCGAATCCGCCCCAAACATTCGAGATTATAATCTTCGTCTATCGATCGCGCGGCAATAGAATTGGGAATCTCCGAAAAAAAACGCAGTTACTACTTTTTTTCGTCAGCCCTTGGCGTGGCGCATCATGTGCCAGTGGTTTATTTCCTCTTTTATTTTGCTCTTGCGTCACAGTCGATAAAACGCGAAGAAAGCTTTTTTTAGTTCGATAAGAATCCGATTTTATTAAATTTAGAAGTCCTAACTTTCAACTTGATACTTTTTTGTTATTTAACGATAAGTTATATTCTTGCGTCGGGAAATTACGCAAATCACAGTATGCGAATCTTGAAATAGCTTAGGCGAGCAACTCCAATAATTAACACATAATGATATCGCCCAACTTTGCGCGAATAATAAGATTAGAAACGAGAAGCACCGGTGGTGCTTTCTCAGTGCTTTGGAACAATACTATACAGAAGAGAACTTTGGGAGCATTAAATCATTGAGCAATCTTATTAGGGCGAATAGAAATTTTATTTTGCTAATCGGAAGTTAAATTGGCTCGCTAGCTGTTACTAGATCCTAGACTTAACACGAAATACTCAATCTGCGTCTAATATCTTTTCCTGTTTTCGATGAACTAGGGAAAGGTTATATCATCTTTAAACTTTGTTCGGTTTTCCCTAGATAACAATTTTTTCGAGATGAATTATTGCTCAAGTTTTTTTATTCAAATATAAATGTGACATTTGTTGATGATCGCTACACTTATTTACAGTGCAAAATTACGATTTAAATTTTAAAAAGTATTGAAATTTGTGGTAAAATAAAGAAGAGAAAAATTGAGAACATTTTTATGTGGACATTCTACATCCAATATTAAACAATTCAGATTTAATAAAAAGTTTTAAAGTGTTCTGTTCTTTAAAATGAGGGACTTGAAGATTGGGATTTTTATATAGATAGATCATTTTTAAAAGCAAACCTCTTTTACAAATTATTTAAATACAAAGAAATGAAGGATAGATATTTTTATGATTATTTTTGATATAGAAATAAATATTATTTCATGTATTACATAACATAAGATTACACACACTGAGAACAAAATGCTGTTGATTCAATTAAACGTCGACGTCACGGGCTGTCACAAACATATGCAGTTGACTCATCAGTATATCAGTATAAATAAAAGCATGACGTCTTGATTTGATTAATAATGTCATTGAATTAACAAAATACTGACGAATTAACTGCATATGTTTGTGGCAGTCCGTGACGTCGACGTTTAATTAAATCAACATTTTTTTCTCAGTGGCACTGACATGAATTACGCACTATATTAACGGCATGCATTGACCTTTTCTTTCTTCTTATATATAGATGCGATGTATTTTTATATGTATTACATCTACTCGTAAATATAACAAATTTAAAGGTATTATGTGCTATTATATAAATTATTTATTATTCCAATTTATGACGCTCTGCGTCAGTTTATCTAAACCGATTAATTCACAATAATTTATAATACAAAGTATACATATGCTTAAAATACATATGCATAAATTAAATTTGCAATCCGGATATATATATAAATATAATGATAATAGATATAAGAAGAAAATAACGAATTGACACATTTATACTAATAACAAGCTACATAATAAACGCTCGAAAATTTATTTCCCGTTTGTATTATCGAAACACATATTGCGACTAAACAAAATGGATATTATTTCGTGTGAATTATTTATAATGCAAGTATATAAGTTGATATATTATTTAGTTCAATTGAATCATTAACCGTCGAGTAAACACGCAACTAAAAACACATGATAGGTATCTCCGTCGTGTTAGAATGAAATGACTAAATGTATAATTAATCGTTTATTATGACACGATGATGTTTTCATCGATCTTCGTGCGACTGTCATCGCGAGTTATTTACGGTACGCGACAGTCATGCAACGCGCGATTTACATGCAAACGAATGACTGATGAACAATCCTGATATAAACGTCTCGTGACGATTTCGTCAGTTTGCGCGTGGCATCGATGTACGCTCGCTTAATTAATTCCCGCAGTAGTTTATCCACAATCGCGGTGTAGATACTCGGAATGGTGAAACTGTCGTCGAGTAGTAAATACAGTAATCCACGAAACGCGCCTCGTGTCATAATATCTGCTTCGTTACATCCCGCTATGTGCGATTTAATCGACCGTGGCGATGATAAAATTGCAGCAGGATGTAAACTAATACCGATAAAGAGCGAACTCGCTCAATTACTCTCCTCGAAATTGTTTAATATCTTTTATTACTATCTAACCATATACATTTTTATTTGCACCAAGTATATAAGAAATTTATTTATTATATCATTTATTTATATTTTTTTTTCTATATTATTTATTTATTATATTTATATATTTAGAAAATATATATCAATATAATAAATATATTATATATTTAATATATTTAGAAAAATGTTTGTGCGAGGATATTAATATATATGCACAAATAAATAAGTAAAATATAACAGAGCGAACTCGCTCAATTACTCTCCTCGAAATTGTTTCATATCTTTTATTTATTCAACCATATACATTTTTATTTGCATCAAGTATATAAGAAATATATTTATTATATCATTTATTTATATTTTTTTTTATATATTTATTTATTATATTTATATATTTAGAAAATATATATATCAATATAATAAATATATTATATATTTAATATATTTAGAAAAATGTTTGTGCGAGGATATTAATATATATGCACAAATAAATAAGTAAAATATAACAGAGCGAACTCGCTCAATTACTCTCCTCGAAATTGTTTAATATCTTTTATTTATTCAACCATATACATTTTTATTTGCATCAAGTATATAAGAAATATATTTATTATATCATTTATTTATATTTTTTTTCTATATTATTTATTTATTATATTTATATATTTAGAAAATATATATCAATATAATAAATATATTATATATTTAATATATTCAGAAAAATGTTTGTGCGAGGATATTAATTAATATATATGCACAAATAAATAAGTAAAATATAACAATAGGCGGGAATTTTTCTGGAATCATTTCTCTCTCGATGGGCACAAATGAAACAGTTCGTTTTCGTAAATACGACGAAAGAACTTAATGAGGTCTGATGTACTTACCGAAAAATCGACTTCTTTCGGGAGATTTAAGTAAAACCTCGCAACGTGAAATTTAAGAGAAAAGGGCGGATCGTCGTCATCGTCCGCCCTTACGCTTTTCCTGCCGGTGACATCAAGCTCTTTGCAAAGAGTGCTCGAGCCCAACCAGAACCCATTGCCGAAATGGAATTGTGAAGAGTAACGTCCGCTCGCGTCAGACACTGAAAAGAGAAAAAAATTCAGATGAAGCGTCGAGAGAAATATTGTCGATTATCGGAGCGGAACAAGCGAGATAAACGCGCTGTCGCTCTTATGACTCTTATCGCGTCTTTCTTTCGAAATGGGTACATATATATATATATATATATGAGAGAAAGAGAAAGGGAGATCTTCTTTCCAGGATCGCGGAGGAACAAAATGTGCGCGGCGACGTGCGAAAAATTCGCACGAATATTTGCGCGTTAACGTCTGCACGCCACATTTTCTCTCTCACTCTCTTTCGAGAAAACTCGAGAGATCGCTCCAGATCCGCTCCAGATCTCGGATGCTGTTTCGCTACAACTTTTTTTTCCCCCTCTTTACTCGTCTCTTTTTTTCTCGCTGAAAGAGAGTCACCGTGTATAAAATCGAGAGCGGCGAAATAAAAAATCGGTAAAATAAAAAATTTCTCAAATTACCTGAAGGATCCGATTACCTTACAGACTCTGTTCGACGGTAGGTTTTCATTGTCAGTTACGTAAAATGCGATACTCGCGCACTGACCACCGAGAGTAGAAAGTGCATTCGGGGCGGACTGCATATATGTTCGTGTAATGGTCGGCCACACTATTATTATTAAGAAACGTAACGCGCCGTGTTCTCTGCGTTATCGCGAAAGTAATCAATTTTGTGCGATAATCTAGACACATTGGTATTGCGCAAATAAATACCCGCGGGAAATTTTAACAAGCTGTATTACAAATGTGGTGTTGATATAGTTTTTATACGTTAGACACAATTTTCCGCGAGACACGCGCTTATTATATCAAAAGCATGACCTCTCTCAGAGCGAAAGTTCAATTTCTTAAATGCTATAATTTTATAATCTGTCTCTATATATGTATATGTATATATATACGCGATTTATTGCGTAGTTAAGGAGAGTTATAAAATCTTACACCAGTGGATCTTAATTTTTTTGAAGTTTACGGAATACTTTTGATTATAAGAGAAATTTGCGGAACACTAAAATAATTAAGATTATAACAAAAATATGCATGAACATATTTTTTATTAAAAATTATACAATACAAATTATGTAATAGTAAAAAAATTTTAATTTAAATTTGAAAAATTAATATTCATAAAATTAAAAAAAAGTTATAGTACTTTCTATAATAGTAGTTTTTTTTTATATAAATATGCGGCGTGCTTTCATAATTTCGCGGAACACTTGTAACACGTTCGCGGAACACTAATGTTCCGCGGAACACCGGTTAAGAACCACTGTCTTATACTATGGAATTTGACTTTAGGTCTGACTTCTCGGCGAAAGTTGAGTTGTTGGACCCCATAATTTTATAATCCGCGCCTATATACATGATTTATTGCGTGGTTAGAAAGAGCTGTAAAGTCGCGCTACGGGAATTGTCTTGAGCCGCAAAGCCACGATGCACACTTTGGCGGTGGAATTCGCAACAATGGCGTAACGACGTCGGACGAATTAATGACGACCTGGCTTTAAGAATAATGATTCGTTATGACAGCTGCTATAAGATCGGGGAACGTCGGAAGAAATTGCGCAATGCAGCAAAGCTCGGGAAGCATTTAAAAACAATCCCGAGTCCACGATAGAGACGCGAAATTGTCGATGCAACTTTTTATTGCCGTACGGCAACTTGATAATTGTCCAAGTTTATTGTTTTCGCTTATTTCATTCGATCGCGTTGCTTAACGTTATTAATTTTTTTTTTTTTTTTTTTTTTGCGTCGATTATTATATATATATTGCGGAACCGTAGTTTCGTAAATGCATTTGAAATATATTCTCGCAGTGGCAGATATACACATTTATCATCTTTTATATTATATTAATTAATTGAATTAATTTCTCAAAATTATTCTCAATGGCGCGTACAAAACATTACATAATATTGTGGAGCGAAGGTTTATAAATGAATTTTAAATGCATTTCTGCTGTCCGCGCGATGTCAGATATATGCATTCGTACACAACATGTACACATTTATCTCATCTCTCTCATTACATTAAATTATATTAATTATAACTCTCCACAATTTTTCAAAATTTCTCCATATATATATATATATATACACACATAATGACATATTCTGCAAAAGGGATAAAGTGGGATTTCGTTAATAGAGTCAGGGATAAAACAATTATCCTCCGACAATTAGCGTCGCTTTCTAGACGTAATTGCGAACTCGGCTCGTTTTCGAATTCGCCGTTCGCGTCACGTACACCCAAATCCGTCGAAGATGCACCTGCTGCAACGGGGCGTCGCGTGTGTGCAGTTTCGCAATTTTCGCGTAGCGCGATTCGCCGCAGGCGCATCCGTCGACGTTATTACCGCGTGTACATCCGACAATGCGGACGCGCGCCGCGAGACCGGAAGTCGTCGCCGTAGAATCCGCCGTGCAGGTGACTTCGCAGCCCGCGAGCTGTCAAGTCAGGAGCGCGCACAGCTGTGCGCGTGCTTTCATCGGCTTGCCGCCGATTGCGCCTTCGGGGCCTTTCTCAGCTTTCTAAAATCACGGGCGGCACCGCGCGCGATAACGATATATATACTTACTCTCTTCGCGCACGATCGTTATTATTATTACTTAATTACCGATACTGTTACTCGCTCGGGATAATTTATAGATAGGCTCCTTTTAATTTGCCCTGCCGCGTATTATATCATTCCATTTTTTGTCTGGAATTATTATAGAATCGTGAATTATAGATAATATTTTACAATTGCTGGCATCACACTGAACACTCTGAGAGAGAGAGAGAAAGGGGGGAGTTCTAGTAGCGAGAGAGGAATTTGTGTGTGCAAATGTCGGGAGGGAAATCTTGCTCAACCGGAAATATTATCGGAATATCGGACATTCCGAGTACAAACGCACGCACACAGTGCGTAATAAATTTCTTCACGCGTGTACATTTTTATGGTTTATTCTTTAGTTTTTACAAATATAAATAATATATTATTACGCTTATTGAACTAGGTTGAGGAAAATAGGAAAGAGAAAGAAAAAGATAGGAAGGCGAGATGTGAATTTTGTAAAGTGTTGTAAAATTAAATATAGATGAGGAAGTAATGTAATTCTACAGAGGAATAATACAACATTTCTACATTTATCATTGAGCATGAGAAAAATAATTTACAAATCCATTCTGTAGGAAGCGTCAAATTTTATAATTAATCTAATTAAAACACTGAAAAAAATTTATTGAATTCAAATAGATATTTATTTTAATACTGCCGTATAAATAAATTCATTTATTTGAATTGATGTGAAAAATATTTATTTTACATAAGAAAATTCTTTTGAAAACAAATAAATATTTATTTGTTTCAAATAAATGATTTATAAGGCAATATTGAAATAAATATTTATTATTAATTTAATAATTTTTTTCAGTGAAAAACGTGACGCGTGTAAAAGTTAGATGCGTGTAAAAGAATGTGTGAAAGTTTATAAGAGAGACAAAATAATATTTTTTTTTTTCAATTGATACGAAAAAGTTCTCTTTAAGATTTTGACTCGCGAAAACACTTGTGCACTTCATTTCGAATTCAAGAAGTCCCGAGTTCCGAGTTTATGTGAATACTTTAGCGCGATTCATTTGCATGACTTCAGTGTTGATTTTCTTCCGAATCCTGTTGAATGTTATGTTCGAGATACTAGCGGCCGAATTTCATTTCCTTAATGTGCCACATTCATAGGAAGCGCGTAAAGATTCGTGATGTAGTAGACTGTAAGTTGTCAAAGAGTTTACTGATTTAAACCGTAAACTAGGTCAGAGTATTTCTATTATTACAAGGCGAAGAAAAGTTTCTTAAGATAATGAAATCTTTAGTCACTCTTGAGTGACAATCACACTCGTAAATTTAATCGAACATATACAAATGCAAATGTTTCTAGATATCTTATTTATTAATGTTCACTCATCTAAAATATGCATATATTTTTTCAAGTAATTTATGATTTATGATTTATCTATCGTTTTAAAAAATCCGAATTTGTTATCCGCTAAGAATCCTTTTTTATTCAGATAATTTATATTCGTAATTATTTTTTACTCTCTCGCTCATTCTGTCAATTTATTCTTAAAAATTCGTTATTCATCATTCTCATCACACTGTAAAAAAAATATGTAAAATTACATTAAAAATATGTAAATTACATAATAATAAATGTAAAATTACATGATAAATAATAAAAAGATAAACATTTCTATTATTTTTCGTGTAATTTTACACTTATTAATGATGTAATTTGACATATTTTTGTGTAATATATTACATATTTTTTTACAGTGCAGGACGAAACAGAATAAGGAATTAAATTACCTCTAACGTAGACAACTGCGATAATTACAATACTGTAGCATTATGTATTTAAATTACTCAAATCATATAAGAACTAGATCCCATCTAGATGGGAGAAGAATCTCTCGGACTTTTTATTTTTTTTAATATACTTTGATCGATCAGAATGACTTACTCTTCGCGGCCCAGATCTTCCCATCTCTCAGCGCGTCCAGGAACCTTTCCATGTCCCTTCGACATTCGCCCTGAAGTTTCCCAGGCACTCTGGCCCACCTGAGAGGATCATAAAGATCGGCTAGCCACTGTATGCTGTTCGCCGTTTTTTCGAGTTTCTCTTTCATGAAATCGATATCGAGGTCCCGATGCTCCTTATCGTTCCCGTCGAACATTTTCAAGTAGTTCTTCCAATCCAGCTCTGGATTGTTCTTGCTGAAGGCAATTAAGGGTTTCCTCGATTCATTTTTCTCGTCCGTTGCATTGTTTGACTTGCTGCCGATCGAGGCAAGCTTCTGCGGTTTGCTCAGCTTCAGGATGTTCGATTCCTTTTCCGCGAGCACTGCTCGAGTGACAAGCAGGATCGCGAGAAGATAACTAAATGGATGCGTCATGTTGCCCTCGTTTATTATTAAAGATGTTACCGTTATGCAAAATTTTCACTTTCGCTTTGGAAAACGATCGACTAGATTTTTTATTTTTTTACTTGGGAGATCAAACTCTCATCGATTTCCGTCGTTAAGTTCTTTGGATATCGTCATCTTAGCATTCGATGAAATTCCTCCGAGGGAGGCAGGAGGAAGAGGAGATATGGTAATATCGTTGTAATGAGTGTTTACTCAATTGAATTCTCGAGCATGCTTGAAGAGAAATACGCGAATGCGGGAAATGCCGATTCGATGCACAGAAATTCGGGGAATCGCGCGCTTCACTGAGGCTGCTGATTTTCACGAGTAACCACGTGCAAATTCGCTCTCGAGACTGTAATGGTTTAGCAAATAAACCAACCTCGGGCGCCGTAAAAAAGACAATAATTGTAGAAAGTCGTTTCTTTATATAATAGTCTGCGATACCCGTAACTTTTCAAGTATTCAATAGACAAATACGCTCAATAGACAAATCTATAAATGTTGGATAAGTGTCGCGTCGTTTGAAAATCCCGCCTGAGTAGAGTATTTCCATATAAATTATAAATATTTTAAATACGTTCGGATTTCTTCATTTTCTCTCTCGGCGTGAAATTTTTATGTAGAAAATGTATATATTTATGTCAACGTTTTCAAATTCCGCTAATATACCGATTTAAAAAAAAAAAATGTCGAAATGATGCGAATCTCGTTTTTAATCTCGTACGAGAAGAGATCTCGACACTTCGCGATCACACAACACGTTTTGTTTGTCACTGATTGACGTTGACGAGGAGAAAAAAAATCCACAGAGATGCTTCAAAGCTGGTTAAGGAGGTGCTCGCACGTATGACAGACTAAGGATCACGCACTGAATGAAGCGAATAAAGTCCGCGGCAGCGTTCGCTCGCGAATAGTGGTTCCCCTTTCTCTTACGACGATGTACTTTACCGCCGTAAATGCATTTCCTTCTCCGGGTCGCGAAAGAAATGTCGTGGCTCAGGCCGGTTTTTCCACTGTGCCAAATAGAGGGTCTGGTCAGATCGAATAGCCATTTTATAATAATGGATATATTAATGAAATATTATATCAGCTGTGTTTATTCTTATAAATGTAAATTGTACTTCAAGCTTCTAACAAAAGTTCTGATGGGATCGAATAAATTTTATAATCATAGACATTGATGAAATATTATGTCAGCTGTTTATCTTTATAAATATAGCTCTTGTTATAAAATGTGAATCGTTTAAATTTCTAATAAAAGGTTCTGGTCAGATCGAATAGCCATTTTATAATAATAGATATTAATGAAATATTACATCAGCTGTTTATCTTTATAAATGTAAATTGTACTTCAAGTTTCTAACAAAACTCCTGGTTGGATCGAATAAATTTTATAATAATAGACATAGACGAAATATTATGTCAGCTGTTTATCTTTATAGATATATCTCTTGTTCTAAAATGTGAATCGTTTAAATTTCTTAAATAAATGTTTGATCAAATACTTGACATTGCATAATATCATTGTGATCGGTAGAAAAACGCGCTTCTATTCGATCGGATACGCTCCATTATTAATCGGCATTTATGATAATAACAAAGCATGGCTTTACATAATTGTAATAATAATACAGTGAACCATGCAATGAGAGATTACACAGGCGGATATATAGATATATAAAGAGGAAAAGGGAGAGAGAGACTCGTTTACGTAAACGATAATTTATTTCTCAAATTTCTCTAATAAAAATGTCTTACTTTACACTGGAACGACAATTATTTTATGATAGGTTGCGCGAAAAGTAAGCGTTTTGTTATTAGATAAGATATTTTTACGTATATTCTCCAAGAAGTGTTACGCATATATCATAAGTATGTAAAATTAGAGGAACGGTTAATTGGTAAAAAGAATGATATGTGAAATTTATACTTCCCGAGACAAGTAGCTTGGAAGCTATTTACGTTACAATGTACATAACCGCCTATTACAGTATTGCATATATAGGAAAGGTTCTCCAGTAGTTCAATTATTATCAGTCCAATAATATCGTTATTACTGGAGTCTTAATTGTCTATTATGTTCTACAGGTTGTACCTGTACATGTTATCTGAGGTTCCCTTATCCGTTTCTGGGAAAGCTCCGTCATCATGATGGTATATAGTTTTATCAAACGTATGTGTCGAGCTAAATGGGAAAATCATTTAGCAAGATATAGGATATTTAACGAGAAAAAAATCGCTCGATATTACGACTTGTATAGTTCTGAATACGCGAACAGATCCAGAGACTGAACAAGTTCATCTTTAATCCTGCAAGGAAGGAATGATTTAACATTCTTATTAATGACAGGCTCAGGGAATGTCCTCAACCCGGGAGAATCATTTAAAATAATTATTAATTTAAATATATAATTTAAAATAAAAAGTAAATAAGGAACGAGGGAAGGATGCAGGATGATTGATCTCGATTGAAATTGGCAGTGAACAGGAGTGTGTCGAGTAAAAGGCGGGAATCGACGAGGCGAACATTCTTTTAGATAGCGTGGCCGGGAAAAATAGTGAAAATAGAAGCTCGAAGCGTGAAGAGAATTTTCTTCTCGAGAGACATCTGGCTTACTCGGTTGTAAACAGGTGAAATATGAGTCTGGTATCCGAAAGCAAAGTGTTAAGCGCTTTTTCCACTTTGCGGCGACCACGAGAGCACGAGAAGTTATCTCCGCTTGAGACTCTATCTTATACCAAATTGGCGCATTCGAATCTTCTTATCGGCTCGAAGGGAAAATAGGTTTAAATCTTTAAATAAATATTTATTTTTTTCACCTTTTTTCGTTTGCGCGCATAAAATCCTTATTGCGTCATTAGAGGAGAGATAAACGAGGGATAATATTAACCGCAGAATTATGTTTCCAGCGATAAGCTCCTTCTCTACGTACCAAGTATTGTACCAAGTTTATACGCTTTATACATTTTTCATCGTTCTTCTTTCGTATTGCGGTGAGGGAATTGATGACGACCGAGACTCTCGTCTTGGATGCAGTGGCCGTAAAATGTGTGGCGATGCTTTACAAATCGATTTTCGCTACATACATAAACGGATATTCTTCCGGTCGCTTGTCGAGTTTGTAAAATCCGTCAAATCGTTGTGAAGCTGTCTTACGCCCGATATATATATATATAAGCAGGAATCCATCCTTCTTGATTTTTAAAAAGTTCAGCGAGCCGTCAACTTTTCATAAAAGATGCGCGTCAAAAAGGAGCGGCTGGAAATTAATTTTTTTTTCTCAGAAAAAATTATTCTCCGATTTGCAATCGAAAGTACTTGCGAGTTCTTCATTTTGCCGTATCTGCACACGGAGAGAATTTTCTCTTAGATTTTACTCTGAAAATCATGGTAATCGTGGCATAATATGGTGTTGGAAGAATTTTATGAGTTTCTCTGATTAATATTTATACCACAATAAAAAATATTAATATGTACATAGTAAATTTTACTATATGTACATAGTAAAATTAATCAAGTATATTTTATATGTTATTGTGGTAGATATTAATATTTTTATTGTGGTAAATATTAATCAGAAAAACTCTGATAAAATTCTTCCAATACTATATTTTCGTGATTATCATGATTTTCAGGATAAATTCTAAGAGAAAATTTTCTCTGCGCATTAACGTTTTTTTCGTATATTTTACAAACTCGTAATGAACGCTGTTTTAAAGTTCTTACGAGACTAACCGAGAGAAGAGAGAAATAATAACAGCATTATAGTCATCAGTATGTCGCGATTCCCGGATCTCCGACGGCGAAAATTGAGTAATCGGGCGGTTCTTACGCGGTTTACATGTATATAGGTACATATTTATTTTTTTTTTGTAAAGATTTACGCAAGGTCAATGGTGTGAGTAAAATCGTTACAAACAACTTTCAACGACTCTCACCGATCGTGGTATCCATCAGATTCTCTTATATCGGCGGTTTCCCGAAAGTTTCTCCGAATTTCTCAGTCCGTCACTCTTCGTCATCTGTGCACCTTTATACTTTCATCTCCTCTCTTTCTCGGAAATAACGTCTGGTAAGATCCGGTTGCGGCTTATGCAACTGAGCTTTCTACGTGATCGACTGCATACACGCGCGGATTTCAACCGGTCCTCGCTCAAGAAGCGGGAGATCGGTTTCGAACTTTTGCTCTCGTTGCTTTCGATTCATCGCGAAAGTCTTCTTACATTATGTCGACATTGAACATTTATTTTCTCCTCTCTCTATCTCTCTATTTTTTATATATGTATATTAGGGTGGTCGTTATATAGGTTTTTTCAAAATTTTAATGTTGGATGGTCGTAAATCAGCTCTAAATGTAGAAAAAAAAAATCTCTAATTTTTTCAGATTTTTATTTTGAGTTCTGAGTCTCCCTGTTGGCATGTAATTTTATTAATAATTTTATTAATACCACAGTTCTGCAGCTGCTTCTGTCATCAATTTTTGTTGTAAATAGTTTGAAATTTTAGTGAAAAAAAGTTGAAACTATTTGAAAATACCGAAAATATAGTATAAAATAATATAAAATAGTTAAATAATATAAATAGCGGAATAGCCCATATAATATTTATGACTATCTTTTATGAAAAATTAAATAATTTTGTTCACTACTTTTGCAGCTGACTCCATCTAGAAGTGTAGTAAATTAAGTATTTTTTCAAAAATTATAAAAAATACAATATAAATAATATTTAAATAACATATAAATGAATAAATAAATTAACTGATATAAGAGAATATAACATAACACGTGTAAACAGGGAGACTCAAGGCTGAAAATAAAAATCTGAAAAAATTAGAGAATTATTTTTTCTACATTTGAAGCTGATTTATGACCATTCAACATGATGTTCAATTTAACGACCACCCTAATGTATATACATTTAATATTAAACAAAAAAGAAAGTAACATATTCAGTATTACGTACTGTTTTTTAAAGGTTTCTAAGATAACAATTTTGAATAAAATTATAGATACTCCAAAAATACAATAGATATATACTATGTATCGAGAAGAATCGACGCTATTTCGGAAATAAATAGTGCTCAGGGGAATTGACGTGTGTTATGTTATATTTAGATTTATTATAAGACTTCTCAAAAATAATAGTCGTGTTTGTTATTAAGAAAGCTTAAATCCAAATCGAAAAAATAAGTTCAATAAGAAAATCAAATATTTTTAATAATAAAAAATAAAAAAAATTTATTTCTAAATTGTCGCGTTTATATATATTCAAGATTTACTCTTATATTTAAAATAAGCAATCTTTTAGGGACAAATTAGAAATGTCATTGTAATTACCTATATAGAATTTTACATTAATACATATGGAAGAGAATGTTAGGTAAATCAGACAACATATTCGTACAACTGTTACGTGCTAACGATGCGGAACGCACGTGGAGTATGTCAGTCTTTAAATACGGAAGTGAAAGTTAGTATATCGAGGGAAAAGCTTTCTTTGTCGACTCTCAAGCGCGCCTTCATTGAGATTTTCTTCTAACCGATGTTGAAAAGAGGCATATCTGCAGTCGGCTAAGCAAATGCCATTTTAAACACAATTTTCTCGTTGGTAATATGTAAACTATAAAAGATTGTAGAAAAAAGACGGAGCGCTGATAATATGTTAAAGTAATATTTATGAGTTAGAATTAAAATGAATTATTTTGTTATTTTTTATTTCATAGTTGTGATATTTATTTTTACTTTAATGTACTTTTCAAAAATGTTTTGCATTAAATAACAATATTTATTATTTTTAATATTGTTTGAAGTTACAATTTAACAAAACAAAAACTTGAAGTATAATCATTTTTCATGTTTTTTTTCTAATATTGAAATTTTGATTTTTAAATTGTAACATAATAAAACAATTTGAATTAAAATGTTATTTTTGATGTAGCAACGTGAATTTTTTTGCATTGTTTAAAAATGTATGTTTCGAGATTCGTGTACTTACTTATGGATTCTTTACGAAACCTTTTGTAAAGTCAGGATGGCCGAGCGGTCTAAGGCGCTGCGTTCAGGTCGCAGTCCACTTCTGTGGGCGTGGGTTCGAATCCCACTTCTGACAAACTTTTTGTTTTTGTATGCACTATAAAGCATAGAATGAAACATTTTTCAATTACAATTAATCTTTGTATTATAAAATTTATATTCATCTGTATTTTGTATTAAGTGGGTGGTTGTCAAGTTGAGAGACTATAAGCAATTGCATTGAGACTGTTTTTTCGTGTGTTTCAAATAAACGAACAAAAACTATTTCTCATTAAAAATTTAAATACATGTAATTTTGTTTCCTGAAAATTACAATATTTGGGGAACAGTGCATTTTTGGAAATTTTGCAGACGATAAAGTGTTATTTTTTTATAAGAAATACGCTAATATTAATTTTTGTCCATTTATTTGGGATATATCCTACATAAAGATTATAATCTTAATAAAATCTTTTCAATGAAACGCGTTTATAGAGGTTATAGATTATAATTGTCTACTGATATTTCTGTGAATCAACAATATATTACGTTATTTTAATCTAATACACATTTTTTTTTCAAGTATAGATATATATATGTATAAATACGTACGATTTGTTTCGGGAAATTCTTTAGCGACTGGAAAATTATTATAATTTTCCGATTGCACTATATTAATAAATAAATATATAATTTAATCATATATTTATACATACATACATTTATTATTTCTATTATTAAGATCTATAATAATTTTTTATAGTTATCTCTGTATAGAATTCTGAAAATGCGATGCTTTTTAATTTTTAATTAGCCTGACAGTGCAATTAATTAATCTTACGATCATTGCTCCGATTATTTGTGTTATCGAATAAATCGAGCATGTCAAGATGTAAAAAGGAACCAACGATAGAACGAGCTGTATATACGTCTCTATCGAGTCCACCTAGAATTTGCGCCGTTGCTGCTCTTACCAATTTTAACAGGTTTCGTCTCTGCCCAAATATTTACCGCGAACTTTAGCTCTGCTATTAATGCTTCTTTCGGTGTGATCTGCACAAAAGAGAATAATTAATAACTCTTTAGCGTACAGCAGCAATAACGATGTGTGGCTTAATTGTCATATTAATAAGTAATTCTCGTATATATATTTGCATTTCATTTATTTACAATTTAATTTATGGTAGAGAAAAATATAATGAATAGAAACGATAAAACATTGAATATCATTGAAGAAAATAAGATGTACTTATTTATTTCATAGCAGTTATATTGCAGAATTTTAATTTTAAACACAAGATATAGGAATAATGAAAAGATCGATATGGGGAAATTTTACCTTTTCTTTCACAGCAACGTTTCGTATATTCCAAAGGAATTCAAAAATTCCGATTAACAATGCGCACCCACAACCGATTATTAAAACGAAAAATACGCCACCGACTTTTGCTAATCCTAATTGGGATGTAATAACATTTTCTGAGTCAACTTTTTTACACTTTTTACCCCCTCTCTCCACCCACCATTTATTTTTTAATTTCTCCAATATACCTTTTTCATCGAGCCATAAGATCGCATGATTAATCGACGTTCTGTACGGAGAATCTGCGAAAAAAATAAATGATAACTCGCTTGTATAAAAAAGAAAAATGGATAAAAACAATAATCAGTAATGATTATCTGAATAATTGTACGAATGACATGTTTTTTCTTTTTTTATTTAAAATTAACTTTCAGTCTTACTACGCGGTAAAGCTATTCCGAAGCCTTTAATGTTTATGAGCCCTCCTATCTTCTGGACTCCGCAGTTTCGTTCCATTATGTATTCAAGTGTTGTGCTCTCTATAAGATAAGCGTACTGTCCTTTGTTTTTCAAGACGCGATCCACACCTGTAACACGTGATAGAAAAAACATTTGAGAAAGAAAACTTAAAAGATCCAAAAAGATTGCTTCTTTTAGAATCATTACTTTCTTAAGAATTTTGTTCACCTATTTAAAGCAAAAAGCAATTATTACTGGAAATATTTAGATATTTTGCTGTTTCTGTAAAGATAAAATATCTTGGAAAGAAACAAAAAATTGGGTAGTGTCTGCATAAATAGAATAACTTACCTTCACTGACGCTATTGACAAGCACGCTTGGTCTCGCTTCGATCATTGTTGCATACATGCGGTTATATGTCAAATAATTTGAGTCCTGATAATTAATATTAATAATATATAAACATATTGAATAAATGCACAATATTGAAATATAGCGATAATTGTTACTGATAACGATAATTGTTACGTACTCTGAAAAATGCTGCTGTCGCACCACCTGCGATAGCACCATACTTGATTTTTGTTTGTTTGGCCAAATCTTCTATTTTTTTAATTGGTGTATCCATTTTATTCATCGTAAGAAAGGCTGCTAGATTAGCTGTATATGATGAGATCATGATAAGCGAGAAGAACCACCACACACTCGTGAGCATTCGAATAGACGGCGCCCTGAAAATAATTAATAAATGCTAAACAAATTGCAAATAAATTTGAATTTTAAACATGAAAGCGCAAAATTTGATATATAATAGTTTCTAATAATGAATAGATAAAAAAATACTGAATAATGAATAGATAAAAATATCAAACAGACCAAAATTAAGTGATTAAATCGTCAGTAAAAGATTACAATGCTCAATAAAAGCATATAAATGCATCTCTACTACTTAAATCAAAATTATTGAAATTTATAAGTACACAATGCTAAAAAAAATACTACAAAGTATGTATATTATATATACATAATGAACGACTTAAAAATAATACAAAATTATATAAAAATTATATCAAATTTTATTTTTTTAAATAAAATTTTTAATACTCTTAGCATGTATGTATTTACTGATAATATTAAGAAAGTACTTTGGAAGTATATCGACGCCTTGATGCATAAGAGAGCTAATGGTTAGATAGAACGAATTTTTCATGTTGAAATTGTTCTCCAAATTATCAGGATCAGAATTGCAGGGATGCGGATTATTCCATTCACCTGGCGACATTCTTTAAAAGAGCATTACATAAAAATAATTACATTAACTTACTAAACATTATTGTCTGCAGCAATAATTTATTTTTGCGTTTATCATTGATTTTTTAAAATATTTATTTAGGGGATAATTTCTTCTATCATAATTGTGCATATTTCGAAAATAGATGAATAAATAAATCTTACCGTGCTTGAAAAAATAACATTATGGATATGACGAGATAAGCTGTCGCCATATAAATCCAAACGTCAATACTTAATGGACGAACAAACCAAAATAAGTGTATTTCCATCTCTTCTGGCTTACTAAATAAAAGACTTATACCTATATATAGTATAAATTAAGTAAGTATAATATTGTTACAATCAAATTTAGATAATAAGTTGTAAACTTAAATTTTATTAATGTTAATATATTAATATAATATATTAATGTTGATATATTTTGGCAAATATTTCGCCCAAAAATATTATTACCGACAGTCATGAATGGCATGGTGAAATCCACAGCGGATTCCCGCATAGAATTTATCGTTATATCGCTGATCGCTAAATCGGCCTTCTAAAAAAAAAAGAAAAATAATTATAATAAGTTATTAAGAAAAACAACAAAATCAAGTAGGCGTATTGTCTATTTTTGTGAAAGATAGAAAATAGCATCGAATGGGAATGCTAAATAATGGATAATTAAGATGATTTTAAACAAGACATTTTTGAAATTTAGTAATTTTTTTATTATTAATTTTATATCTTTATATTTAGTAAGAAAACAATCGTTCACTTAACATTTTTATTCTACGTTTATTAATTAATTAGAATTTTATTCTGCTTAAACAGATCGATAAAAAGAAAGATTTAATATATCAGTTTAATTCTTTTTGAACAAAATTTTTGTAAATACAAAATGTCTTACACGATCTAGAAGGCGCTTGATTAGGCCGTTCCAGCTTCTCGTCTTTCGGTTGTAGAACCCGTTCGGACCGTTTATAACTTCATAATAGAATTTAAATTTGAGTCTTTGTGAGAGATGTTCGATCAAATCGATACAGAAACCTTCGTAGCGTTTATTGCCGATTAAAACTCCTCTGTTTATGCCTTCAGGGACTTCCATTACATAAGGCTCACCCTGAATCGAACGGAAAACAGAATTTATATGTATATGTTTTCGAAAACCTCGGAGTTTAATATTGCATATTTTTTTTCATTTTTACATAGATTTAGCAGAAAATAATTAGATTTGTTATGAAGTTTTATGATAAAGTTTTTTATTATAGATTTCATTGATTTTCCTATAGTCTCAAATTCAAATATAAAAATACTTTCGTTCTTTATGTCATTAGTAGATTTTTTTTTTTTTTTTTTTTTTTTTTAAGGTGTTATTTATTTTTGTAATATAAAGCATCGAAACAAAATTATTTATTAAATGTAATGTTTTTTATTCAATTTACTTTTTGTTTATTCGGAATATCTTTTTTTTTTAGACTGAATATAATTATATAAGATTTGCACTTGTTGCAGTTAACGAGATCTAAAATTTAAAATATTGTTATTTTGACAGCTAATATGATTTATTTATGTAAATCAATTTTAGTATAATCGTGTGTCGTAATAATATGACATTACTAACTACTTTGATGCTAATTGCAAATGTTTTTTCTTGAATTGATATATTCAAATAGCTGATATAGTCAAGTTTTTCTTCAATTCGAATAGGATGTAGACCATTAATGTCCCAGAAAGCTTTTTGAACTATATTTCGACGAAAATCCAGTATTTGAATGTTAAACTCTCGTCGATGACCATATTTATCAATATTCATGGAGCCTGTTATCTTCCCCATTTTCGACAACTGTAACGAAAATTCACTTACAATTAGTTCTATACACACATAATAAAAATTGTAAAATATTTAGCACAAAATACGATTATTTCAGTTTTAATAGAGCAGTGAAAATTAGTGGAATTTGTGCCAATTATTTCCAACAGACTTAATGCAATATAAAACAATTTCGGAATATTTAGCAGACGTGCCGGTTGTATTTTTGAACTTCCTTCAGGGCAATAAATAAATAGATTTAATTTAACAATTAACGAATAAAAATGAATTTTTTGAAACACTTTCATGAAATATTAACTTATCAGTCATGTTTTAAAATTTTGTTAAGTCGATAAAATTATAAAGAGCAAGAACAAAGACCAAGCTTATATTTTTTATCTTTATATTTATTATAATAAGAAAAAGAAAAACATGGAAGAATTTACCTGTCGCATAACGCTCGTAATATTGGGTCCCGCTTGATACTTTCCATTTTTTTTACAAGAGAGTGATACAGGATCAATTATTATAGATTCCTTGACGTCAGTGTTCCTCGAATTTAGGGACTCCATTGCTTTGTTTAGCAAAAATACTGCATCATAGAGAACAGCCGACTCTATCTGCATCGAAATTACAAATAGTCATATGTAAAATAACTAATTTTATGTAAATACCAAAACGTGAAATTAACAATTAATTGCGCATATTGAGATAGATAAGTCGTTTTTCGTTATACAAACTCGAAATTTTTATACTTATAATTAACATCTTTCAATTAAAATACATTTGTTATTTGTCAAATAAATTATCCGATAATTTATTTACGAAAAATAGACGTTATAAATTTAATGAATGAGTCAAAAAGCTTTGTCACGAATAATCTTTGTTTCTGTGCATTTTTACAATATTTAAGAGTTCAGTATGTGGTGAAAAATATAAATTTTAAGTATATTATAACGGATATATATCTTGCTTATTAAAATATCTTGCTCTTTAAAAGTTATCTGTTTAAAAATTATATTTACCGAATCAACTCCTTCTACATCTTTGTGCCTTAAGCTCAATCCGATAATATTGGCATTGGTGCCATTTCGTATTTCGGAGATAGGTAGTTTGGATGAATCCTATAATTTTTCAATAGAAAGGTTAAAAACGATTTACATCATATGTTTTTTGTTCATTTAAAAAATTCAAAAATTGCATATAACATAATTTTTTAAATCTATCTTTGACACAACTTCTCACAAATTGTTCGATAGATTCTTCAATATATATAAGTTATATAGTTTTCTCAATAATGCAACAAAACTGTTCGAATTGTTATATACATATTTTTTTGTTTATTATCTCTTATAATTTTTCAACATTAAATATAATTCTAATTTTCTTTCTCGTCATCTATAATCTTACTGTATTTATTTTCATATAATAATGTTTATGTGATACTTTCCAGATATGTTATGACAAAATTGCAGTAATCCGCAAGCAGTTTGACTTCTTTCGCATCATTGAGAACGCGAACAATATTTTTCGGCTCGACATCGATGATCACATTGCAAATAGATAAAGAGCGTATCTCTTTAAGTATCGGGCGATAATCTTCATTGCTCAGTTGCCGAATTGTAATGAGATAATTTTTTTTTCGTCTTATCGTCAAAGCCTTTTGAATGCGCGAAAGTCCATCATCGTTTTCGTAAATCGCCACGAAGCCTCGCCATTTCAACGAGTCAACAACGTCGGCGATAGCCTAAGGCAATTTTAATCAGGTGTAAAAGTTTTGATACAAAAATAATATTACTATGATTTAACATATATTATACTTTACATGCTTTTCTGTTGATATACATATTATATATTCTTCGAAGATATGAATCGCGCAAAATTAGAATTCTTACAGGTATACGTTGCAATAGTCGAACACTAAAAACCCTGATAATGCTCGCTTTATAATCGAATCTAGAAAATTGCTTTCTGACTGTAAAATATTTTTCTTCTATGACGACTGACCTGACTGACCATCTCGCTGTCCGGGAATACATTTATGGTCATTGACGGATTATTATCTGCCTTTGTTTTCGCCTTTGATCTCTTGTTTTCGCGCCAAACGTATTCGATGTGTGGTATGTTATATCGCGAAGTAATACTCGCGACTGTTCCGCGAGTATACGGACTTGATGGTCCGAAAATAGCTGCCACACCTTCCTCGAGGAGCTCACAGGCTATAGAGAAGGGAATACAACAAATAAGCAGATATAAATTGCCATAAAAGCAGAAATTAAATAGTTGAAGCTTTGTTCGCGATCATTGATTTTTCATATTCGTTTACTCACTAGCTGCTGCAGTTTTAAAACTATCGGCATCTATGTATTTAGTGACAGGGATGAATTCGAACGCAGGTGCAAGGTGTTCGTATTCTGTCTCAGAGATTGCTTTTAGAAATGCCGACATATGATCCTCATCACCTTTGTGAAAGATTGCACCTGATATATAATACAGCTCAATATGTTATTTGTACTTAGAAAGGGTTAAATAATTAAGTATTAGAATTTTTTCTAAATTATAAAAAAAAGAAATGTTATTGTACATTTTTAATATATTTTTTGCATGAAAAATTATTATCTTTTTATTTGTACTATTAATTATGAGATTTCTGCATACATAATTTTGATGTTTGTGTAATTATGAAATTCAATAAGTGTGATTAATTTTTTGAATATATTTATATTTTGCAATTAATGATTTAAAAAATCGGCATATATATATTTATTATTGTGTCCGCGAATAGTGTATGACTTAATAGCTCTGATGTGATACATACAACTTGCAATTTAATTACATTTACGTTATACGTGTTGGATCAATATTAACAAGTCAGTTTTGACAGGAGTGTCAATGCTGAAAATATGTAGGATATATTTCTTTGTTAAAAAACTATTTTTTTTATAAATCACACTTTTTTTACTTTATTCTATAAACATATATTATGTATGTATTATTTATAACCTGTTATTAAGAGAAAAACAGAGTGACAATTTTTTTTGATTTTATTTGTGACTTTTTTCTTTTTAATTTTAAACATATCTGAAGTCACGAAATAAAGCAATATATTAGAATATATTTTTATTAAATGATATCAGTAAATTAGATGAATTTTAGTTTTTATGTGCTAAATTTCTTATTAAATCTTTTTTGAATAAAATTAAATTATTTATATATATTATTATGTAAATACTGTAAATTATTCGTAAATATTTTTCTGAACTATTTTTCTAGAGTGAGTATATATTACTTACCAATTTTGATAGGTCGCGTGATATTATGACTGCATGTAGCCAATATTAACAACATTAATGCAATTAAAAAGATACACTTTCGTGGATCCATTTTAATAAGTAATCTGCAAAATAGAGAGATTTTAGCTGCAACTTGTGCACTATTTATTGTCTCTGACTTAGATCAACAAAATTAATAGCGCAATATCAAATGTTTGTGTACCTGTACGCTAGACGACTTGATTACTCGAATGTTATAAACTAATTAAAGTATGACGTCTAGATGTGTCGATATATGGAACTTTCATTTCCTATATTACACGCGAATATTTCGTGTTTTTTACGCCAGATGGCATATATCAATAAATTTTTATTTTTGTTTCTTTTAATTTTTTCTTTTGTTTCTAAGTTTTAGTAATTATTGTTTCGTTTTCAATATGTATTTACACAACTGCATATTTTATCGATGAGTAATATTGCGTAGAATTTTAATTAAGTTTTAAATATTTTAAGGAATTCATTAAAGTAATATAAAGATTATAGTCATAATATTTATAGAAATTTTTATGAACATTATTCACTTTAATGAAAAAAATGGGTAATGTGGTGAATTGCGGTTAAATGTTTAGTTGTAGATGTATGTGTGATAATACTGATTAATATTGATCCAACACGTATAACGTAAATGTAATTAAATTACAAGTTGTATGTATAACATCAGAGCTATTTAAAGTCGTGATTTGTTTATATATTAATGATGCATATTAAGAAGAAAAAATTATGTATAAAATTAAATAAAATGATAAAATTTTAACACTCTTTTGTATGTAATTAGAATATAATTAGAGTTATGTAATCGTTTATTTAGATTTTTTATAGTTATAATAAATTGAAGAATAAATAATTCTGTCTGCAGTTGTAATAGGTAATGTCTCAAAAAAGATATAAAACTTATAAAGCCAAGCATGATTTAATTGAAATAATTTTTATAATATAATTAGGAATTTTAACGAGTTAAACATTATGAGAACAGAATAGAAATATTTGTGTCCTAAAAATTTTATCAGTTTTACCTTAATATCTGTGATACAAGCATGTATCAGCAACTAGATTTTTACATTGTTTTGATGCAATGCACTTGCAATTCGATTGGACGAGCTAACTGAAATCTTCGTTTGATAGAAATTCCTGGAACTATTAAGAGCAAAAATCAATGGAACTATCCCACATTCAGCGTTTCACATCTGATGTGATTTCGCATTTACTGATCTGAATTTGAAGTGAACCATTCTATATATTTTCGGCTTGAGAATCATGTTGTACCGATATTATCGTACATTTTGTTCTAGTAGCAAAATATAAATGTACTTTTTAAAATTTTCTTAATCATCAATATTCTCACGGATTAATTAAAATTTCATAAATATTTTCTCGCGTGCATCTTTTTAAAATTTATTGAAATAATTAACAATATTTTATTGTTATAATTTAAAAAAATTGTAAAAGAAAGCCAAGATTGTATTGCAGTTAATGCAAACAATTTGTTTTCTATTATTTCTTATTTTTTATTTCGTATTTATTATTAAAACAATTTTGCTGTAAAAGTTTGTGAACAATTTAGTGCATTTAAATTGATTATCAACATATTCAGTTGATATTATCAATACAAATGCATCATCTTGATAATTTTTATAATTTATTTAATATAAATCAACAAAATAGTGCATTTGCATTAATTATAAACATAATTAATTTAAATATTATTAATACAAATGCACTATCTTGCTGATTTATATAATTTATTTAACATGTCAAGATTTGTATTGATATTATCAAATCGACTTTATTGTAGAGTTATATTAATTGCTTTATGTGATTTTACTGACAGAAAATTTAATTTAATATACTACATTTATATTCAATTACGTAATAACATATTATTAACCTTATATTTAATCAAAGTGAATATTTAATTGCTTAAGGCGAGTTAATGTATAATTAATTTACTGAAATTTTTCAAAGGTATCGTCCTCTTGAAAAAAATATTTCAATTTTATTAATAATGTCATTGAATGAACAAAAAATTAAACTGCATCGATGTTGTTGATTCAACAGTATATTTTTCTCAGTGTACACATCTTTATTATTTTTACAATTCTATATTATAATTATTCCCTTGTATAGAATTCTGAAAATGCGATAATTTTCAATTTTATTTTAGTTAGCCTTACAGCGCAATTAATTAATCTTACGATCATTGCTCCGATTATTTGTGTTATCGAATTTATCGAGCATGTCAAGACGTAAAAAGGAACCAACGATAGAACGAGCTGTAGATGCAGCTCTACCGATTCCACCTTCGGTAGAACTTGCGCCGCTGCTGCTCTTACCAATTTTAACAGGTTTCGTCTCTGCCCAAATATTCACCGCGAACTTTAGCTCTGCTATTAATGCTTCTTTCGGTGTGATCTGCACAAAAGAGAATAATTAATAACTCTTTAGCGTACAGCAGCAATAACGATGTGTGGCTTAATTGTCATATTAATAAGTAATTCTCGTATATATATTTTGCATTTCATTTATTTACAATTTAATTTATGGTAGAGAAAAATATAATGAATAGAAACGATAAAACATTGAATATCATTGAAGAAAATAAGATGTACTTATTTATTTCATAGCAGTTATATTGCAGAATTTTAATTTTAAACACAAGATATAGGAATAATGAAAAGATCGATATGGGGAAATCTTACCTTTTCTTTCACAGCAACATCTCGTATATTCCAAAGAAATTCAAAAATTCCGATTAACAATGCGCAACAGCAACCAATCATCAAAACGAGAAATACGCCACCGACGTTTGCTAATCCTAATTCGGATGTATTAACACTTTCTGAGTCAACTTTTTTACACTTTCCACCGCCTCTCTCCACCCACCATTTCTTTTTTAAGTCTTGCAAAATTCCTCTTTCACCGAGCCATAAGATCGCACGGTTAATCGGCGTTCTGTACGGAGAATCTGCGAAAAAAATAAATGATAACTCGCTTGTATAAAAATAAAAAATGAATAAAAACTAATCAGTATTGATCACCGTATAATTGTGCGAATGGAATATTTTTTCTTTTTTTATTTAAAATTAACTTTCACACTTACTACGCGGTAAAGCTATTCCGTAACCTTTATTGTCTATGAGTCCTCCTATCTTCTCGATTTCGCAGTTTCGTTCCATTTCGTATTCAAGTGTTGTGCTCTCTATAAGATAGGCGTACTGTCGTTTGCCTTTCAAGACACGATCCACACCTGTAACACGTGATAGAAAAAACATTTGAGAAAGAAAACTTAAAAGATCCAAAAAGATTGCTTCTTTTAGAATCATTACTTTCTTAAGAATTTTGTTCACTTATTTAAAGTAAAAAGCAATTATTATTGGAAATATTTAGATATTTTGCTGTTTCTGTAAAGATAAAATATCTTAGAAAGAAACAAAAAATTGGGTAGTGTCTGCATAAATAGAATAACTTACCTTCCCTGGTGCCATTGACAAACACGCTTGGTCTCGCTTCGCTCATTGCTACATACATGCGTTTATATGTTGAGTAATTTGAGTCCTGATAATTTTAATCCAATATCATTTTATGATTAATATTAGTAATATATAAACATATTAAATAAATGCACTATATTGAATTATGTCATAATTATAAATAAATTTAATACAATGAACAATTAAAATATAGCGATAATTGTTTCTAACGTACTCTGAAAAATGCTACTGTCGCACCACCTGCGACAGCACCATACTTGATTTTTGTTTGTTTGGCCAAATCTTCGACTCCTTTAATTGGTGTATCCATCTTGTCAACCGTAAGAAAAGCTGCTAGATTAGCTGTATATGATGAGATCATGATTAGGGTAAAGAACCACCACATACTCGCGAGCATGCGAATCGACGGAGCTCTGAAAATAATTAATAAATTCTAAACAAATTGCAAATAAATTTGAATTTGAAACATAAAAAGCGTACAAAATTTGAAACATAATAGTTTTTAATAATGAATAGATAAAAAATATAGAATTAAGTGATTAAATTGTCAGTAAAAGATATACAATGCCCGATAAAAACATATAAATTTATATCTCTACTATTTAAATCAATTATTGAAATTCATAAGTACACAATACTAAAAAAATACTACAATTAATATATTGTATATATACATAACGAACCCTTAAAAATAATATAAAATTATACAAAAATTATATAAAAGTTTTATTTTAAAAAAGCTTAGCTAAATCTATATATGTATTTACTGATATTAATAAGAAAGTACTTTGGAAGTATATCGCAGCCTTGTTGCATAAGTGAACCAATGGTTAGCCAGAACGAGTTCTTCATATCGAAACTATTCTCTAATTCTTCAGGATCAGAATTGCATGGATGCGGGTTATCCCATTCACCTGGCGACATTCTTTAAAAAAGAATTACATTAAAAAATAATTACATCAAATTATTAAACATTATTGTCTGCAGCAAATTTTTTTTTGTACATCATTGATTTTTTAAAATATTTATTTGGGGGATAATTTCTTCTATCATAATTGTGCATATTTCAAAAATAGATGAATAAATAAATCTTACCGTGCTTGAAGAAATAACATTATGGATATGGCGAGATAAGCGGTCGCCATATAAATCCAAACGTCAGTACTTAATGGACTCAAAAACGAAAATAAGTCTGGTTTCTTCTCTTCTGGCTTACTAAATAAAATACTTATACCTATATATAGTATAGTATAAATTAAGCAGGTATAATATTCTTTCAATTGCATTTAAATAATATGTAAACTTAAACTTAGTTAATGTTAATATATTAATATATTATATTAATGTTATAAATATTACCAATATAAAATATAATATTATTATATAAATATTACCAAGAGTCATGAATGGCATCGTGAAGTCGACAACGGATTCCCGAGCATAAGTTATCGTTAAATCACAGATCGCTAAATCGGCTTCCTGCAAAAGAAAGATAATTGTAATAATAAATTATTAAAAAGAACAAAATCGAGTTGGCGTATTGTCTATTTTTGTGAAAGATAGAAAATTATTTAGCATCGGATGGGAATGCTAAATAATGAATACTTAAGATAATTTTAAAGTAGATATTTTTGAAACATAATAATTTTTTTATTGTTAATTTTATATCTTTATATTTAGTAAGAAAATAGTCGTTTACTTTACATTTTTATTCTACGTTTATTTAAAATAAAAAATGTTTGCTGCTTAAACAGATCGATAAAAAGAAAGATTTAATATGATCAGGTTAAATCTTTTTAACAAAATTTCTGTAAATACAAAATGTCTTACACGATCTAGAAGGCGCTTGATTAGGCCGTTCCAACTTTTTGTCTTTGGGTCGTAGCTACCTTGCGGACCGTCTATAACTTGATAATTGAATTTGAATTGTAGTCTTTGTGCAATGTAATCGATCAAATCGATGCAGTAACCTTCGTAGCGTTTATTCCCGATTAAAACTCCTCTGGTGATGCCCTCGGGAACTTCCATTACATAAGGCTCACCCTGAATCGAACGGAGAACAGAATTTATATGTATATGTTTTCGAAAGCCTCGGAGTTTAATACTGCACAATCTTTAAATTTTTATATAGATTTAGCAGAGAATAATTAGATTTATTATGAAGCTTTATCGTAAAGTTTTTTATATTATAGATTTCATTGATTTTCCTATAGTTTCAAATTCAAATATAAAAATACTTTCTCATGTCATTGGTAGGTTTTATTTATTTTTTTTTTTTTGTATCACGCTGATTATGTATTATTTATTTTTGTAATATAAAGCATTGAAACAAAATTATTTATTAAATGTAATGTTTTCTGTTCAATTTATTTTTTGTTACTTGGAATATCTTTTTTTAGACCGAATGATATAATTATATAAGATTTGCACTTGTTGCAGTTAACGAGATCTAATAATTTGAAATATTATTTTGACAGCTAATATGACTTATTACTGTAAAAATCAATTTTAGTATTATCGTATGTCGTAATAATATGACATTACTAACTACTTTGATGCTAATTGCAAATGTTTTTTCTTGAATTGATTTATACAAATAGCTTTCGAGTTCTTCTTCATTACGTATAAGATGTAGACCATTAATGTCCCAGAAAGCTGTTTGAACTATATTCGGACGAAAATCCAGTATTTGAATATTGAATTCTCGTCGATGACCATATTCATCAATATTCATGGAGCCTGTTATCTTCCCCATTTTCGACAACTGTAACAAAAATTCACTTATATTTAGTTCTATACATACATATATTGTATAGTAAAAGTTTTAAAATATTTAACACAAAATATGATTATTTTAGTTTCAATAGAGCAATGAAAATTCATGGAATTTGTGTCAATTATTTCCAACAGATTGAATGCAATATGAAACATTGCCGAATATTTAGCAGACGTGCCGGTTGTATTTTTGAGCTTTCTTCAGCGCAATAAGTAAATAGATTTAATTTAACAAACGATTTTAATTAAACAAATAAAAATTTTTTTGAAACATTTCTGAAATATTAACCTATCACTCATGTTTTAAAAATTTTGATAAGTCGATAATATTTTAAGAAGCAAGAACAAGGACCCAAACGTATATTTTTTATCTTTATATTAATTTATTATAATAAGAAAAAGAAAGACGTGAAAGAACTTACCTCTCGCATAACGCTCGTAATATTGGGTCCCGCTTGATACTTTACAGTTTCTTCACAAGAGAGTGATACAGGATCAATCGTTATAGATTCCTCGATATCAATGTTCCTCGTATTTAGGGTCTCCATTGCTTTGTTTAGCAAAAATACTGCATCATAGAGAACTGCCGACTCTATCTACATCGAAATTACAAATAGTCAAATAATGAAATTTCTAAAGTGTCTGCCTTAGTTTAAATTTTGTCTAATATAAAATAGCTACTCAATTCAATGTAAATATCAAAACGTGAAATTAACGATTAATTGGGATAGATGAGTCGTTTCTCGTTACACAAACTCGAAATTATTATACCTATAATTAACATATTTCAATTAAAATACATTTGTTATTTGTCAAATAAATTATTCAATAATTTATTTACGAAAAGTAAACATGTTATAAATTTAATGAATGAGTGACCAAAAGCTTTGTGACGAAAAATTTTTGTTTCTGTGCATTTTTGCAGTATTTGAGAGTTCAATATGTGGTGAAAAATATAAATTTTTAAATATACTATAATGGATATATATTGTTTATTACTCTTAAAATTATCTGTTTAAAAATTATATTTACCGAGTTAACTCCTTCTACATCATTTTGCCTTAAGCTCAATCCAGTAATATTAGCAGTGGTGCCATTTCGTATTTCAGAGATAGGTAGTTTGGATGAATCCTATAATTTTTCAATGGAAAGATTAAAAACGATAGATCATATATTTTTTGTTCATTTAAAAAAATCAAAAATTGCGTATAACATTTTTTAAATCTATTTTTGACACAATTTTTTCTCACAAATTGTTCAATAGATTCTTCAATATATATAAGTTATATAGTTTTCTCAATAATGCAACAAAACTGTTCGAATTGTCATATAAATATTTTTTGTTCACGATCTCTTATAATTTTTCAACATTAAATATAATTCTAATTTTCTTTCTCGTCATCTATAATCTTACTGTATTTATTTTCATATAATAATGTTTATGTGATACTTTCCAGATATGTTATAACAAAATTGCAGTAATCCGCAAGCAGTTTGACTTCTTTGGAATCATTGAGAACGCGAACAATATGTTTCGGCTCGACATCGATGATTATATTGCATATAGATAAAGAGCGTATCTCTTTAAGTATCGGGCGATAATCTTCTTCATTGCCCAGTTGCCGAATTGTAATGGGATTATCCTTTTTCCGTTTTATCGTCAAAGCCTTTTGAATGCGTGAAAGTCCATCATCGTTTTCGTAAATCGCCACGAAGCCTTGCCATTTCATCGAGTCAACAACGTCGGCGATAGCCTAAGGCAATTTTAATCAGATGTAAAAGTTTCGATACAAAAATAATATTACTATGATTTAACATATATTATACTTTACATGCTTTTCTGTTGATATACATATTATATATTCTTCGAAGATATGAATCGCGCAAAATTAGAATTCTTACAGGTATATGTTGCAATAGTCGAACACTAAAAACCCTAATAAGTTGCTTGCTTTATAATCGTATCTAGAAAATTGCTTTCTGATTGTAAAATATTTTTCTTCTATGACGACTGACCTGACTGACCATCTCGCTGTCCGGGAAAACATTTATAGTCATTGACGGGTTAATATCTTCCTCTGCTTCCGCTCTTGATCCCTTGTTTTCGCGCCAAACGTATTCGATATGCGGTATGTCATACCGCGAAGTAATACTCGCCACTATTCCGCGAGTATATGGACTTGATGGTCCGAAAATAGCTGCCACACCTTCCTCGAGGAGCTCACAGGCTATAGAGAAGGGAATACAACAAATAAGCAGATATAAATTGCCATAAATGCAGAAATAAAATAGTTGAAGCTTTGTTCGCGATCATTGATTTTTCATATTCGTTTACTCACTAGCTGCTGCAGTTTTAAAACTATCGGCATCTATGTATTTAGTAACAGGGATGAATTCGAACGCAGGTGCAAGGTGTTCATATTTTGTCTCAGAGATTGCTTTTAGAAATGCCGACATATGATCCTCATCACCTTTGTGAAAGATTGCACCTGATATATAATACAAGTTCAATATGAGTTATTTGAACTTGGAAAGGATTATATAATTATGTATTAGGATGTTTTGAATTAAATAAAAAGGAATTGTATTGTATATTTTTAATATTTTTTTTGTGTAAAATTATTATCTTTTTAATTGTACTATCAATTATTTTTGCATACATAATTTTGATGTTTGTGTAATTATGAAATCCAGTAAGTGTGATTAATTTTATGAATATATTTATATTTTGCAATTAATGATTAAAAAATATCGGAATATATATTAATTATTGTATTCGCAAATAGTATATGACTTAATAGCTCTGATGTTATATACATCTAGTAATTTAATTACATTTACGTTATACGTGTTGGATCAATATTAAATAACGAATAACATACATGCTAAGTCAGTTTTAACTGAAACGTCACTGCTGAAAATATATAGGATATATTTCTAATTGTTCAAAAACTGATTTTTTTTATTAATCACACTTTTTTAACTTCATTATTTAAACATATATTATGTATGTATTACTTATCTTAACATGTTATTAAAATAGAAAAGCAGAGTGACAATTTTTTCTTTTTAATCTTAAACATATCTAAAGTCACGAAATGAAGCAATATATTATAGAATATTTTTTAATTAGAAGATGTCAGTAAATTAGATGAATTTTAGTTTTTACTTGTAAAATTTCTTATTAAATTTTTTTTTGATAAAAATTAAATTTTTTATATTATTATTAACACAGAAAACAATATAAATTATTCGTAAATATTTTTTTCGAACTATTTTTCTAGGATGGGCATATTACTTACCAATTTTAATAGGTCGCGTGACACCATTACTGCATGTTGTTAATAATAACAACGTTAATGCAATTAAAAAGAGACACTGTCGTGGATCCATTTTAAAAATTAATCTGCAAGATAGAGATAGATTTAGCTGTAACTTGTGCAAAATTTATTGTCTCTGAATTAGATCTACAAAATTAATAGCGCAATATCAAATGTTTGTGTACCTGTACGCTAGACGACTTGATTACTCCAATGCTATAAACTAATTAAGGTATGAACTCTGAATGTGTGGAAATATGGGACATTCATTTCGCTTATTACATGCGAATAATTTGTATTTTTCACGCCAGATGGCATATATCAATAAATTTTTGTTTTTTTTTTAAATTTTTTCTTTTGTTAAACTTTCTAAGATTTAGTAACTATTAATTATTTCTTTTTCAATATGTATTTACACAACTGCATATTTTATCGATGAGTAATATCGCGTAGAATTTTAATTAAGTTTTAAATATTTTAAGGAATTCATTAAAATAATATAATATAAAGATTATAGTCATAATATTTATAGAAATTTTTCGAATATTATTCACTTTAATGAAAAAAATTGTTAATATGCTGTATTGAGCTTGTATATATAGTTGTAGATGTATGTGTGATTTGTTTTGCATATATCAATGACGCATATTAAAAGGAAAAATGTTATATTATATATTAAATTAAATAAAATGATAAAAATTTAACACTTGTATATAATTTGAGTTATGTAATCGTGTATTTAGATTTTTTATATTTATAATAAATTGTGAAATAATTATGTGCGCAGTTCTAATAGATAATGTCTCAAAAAAGAAATAAAACTTATAAAGCCAAGCGTAATTTAGTTGAAACACTTTATAATATAAGTAGGAATTTTAACGGGTTAAATATTATGAGAACAGAATAGAAATATTTTTTGTGTCTTAAAAATGTTATCAATTTTACCTGAATACTTGTGATACAAGCGTGTATCAGCAACTATATTTTTACATCGTTTCAATGCAATGCACTTGCAATTCGATTGGATGAACAAACTGAAATCTCCGTTCGATAGAAATTTCTAGAACTATTGAGAGCAAAAATCAATGGAACTATCCCGCAATCAGCGTTTCACATCTGATGTGATTCCATGTACTGATCTAAATTTGGAGTGGACCGTTTTATATATTTTCGGCTTGAGAACCATGTTGTACCGATATTGTCGTACGTTCTGTTTTAGTGACAAAATATATATGTATATTTTTAAATTTTCTTAATTATCAATATTCTCACGCATTAAATAAAATCACGTACATATTCTTGCGCGCCGTCTTTTTAAAATTTATTAAAATGAATAATTAAAGCTATTTTTTGTTACAATCTTAAAAATTGTGAAAGAAAGCTAAGATTGTATTGCAGTTAATGCAAACAATTTATTTTCTATTATTTCTTATTTTTTATTTCTTATTTATTATTAAAACAATTTTGCTGTAAAAGTTTGTGAACAATTTGTGTTTCAAATATTTCTTATTTTACGAGTAAATCAAGAAGAAATTTGTTTTATATAGACATATATAACATACTTTACGCCAAGCTTTTGAACTATAACATGAAAAAAATTTAAGTATAATTTTTGGAACTTAAAATTTCTGCTCCCTCATTGTAACTATTGACTTATAGTAACAAAGCAAAAAAATATGTGAATTTTTTCTGTTGCATTGTATTTTTAGAAAAAAAATTTTTTTTATACCATTAGGCGATATTAATATAAATAGAAAAAAACAATATTTTTGCTATATAACATAAAACATTTTATATAAAACTCGGTATAAAAATGTTTTGGCTTAATAGTAATACAAAAACGTCAGTATTGAAAAAGGAATTTTGCATTTAACAATTATATTAAATTATAGCATTTTGCAAAAATTTTCTGTGAACTGATAATGAGAAATACACTTAGCACATACCATGTAGTGAAAATTAATGTATCAAGGAAAAAGCTCCGTTTGTTAATTCTAAGCGTATCTTTGGTGATACGCTCTTTTAACCGACATCTCTCGGTTAAAGACCATATATCTGCAGTCGATGAAGTAAATTTCATGTTGAACACCATTTCTGCTTGTTGGTAATACGTATAAGGATTATGAAGAATTTTATAAATGCGACGCTGTTTAATGTTTCAAAGTAATATTGAGTCACAGATCAAGTTAAACCAGAGAGACATGTACGAAATTTGCCAAAAAAGTAATTACATTAAATCTGTGGTATGCAACGTGTGGCAACACTAAAAAAATCACACAAAACATATAGTCCAAAATAATATTAACCAATTGAAATTTTAGTTTATTTTAATTTTAATTGTATTAAAATATATCATTAATCAAAATTAATCATTATATATGTATCGAGACTAATTTAATCGATTAACATTAATCATTAATCAGTGTAGAATCAATTGAAGCAAAGCAATCGATTAACACTTTATCATTAAATATAATCAGGATTTATTAAACCATGATTAGGTGTTAATCGAATAATCCAATTGATCAATTTAATGAATTTTTGAAATTAGTATATCTGGCGGATAAATACACATTGTCCTTTATAATCTGTAGAGTTCTGTTGCAATTTACATAAAACATAAAATTTTATAACATATCTTTTATGACGAGATGTACTAATACACACAAAAAAACATAATGACACATGAATGAACAAATCGAAACTTGTACTCTTTTGCAGGAAGAACCATATTATACGTTCTGCGTTCTTTTTTACGATTTTTTAATGCTGTCACATTGTACTATAGATTTAATCTTATTGATTTTCTGACAAATCTCGTAGAAGTAAGAGAAATAACGACGCGTTTAATATGTTTGTTTACATTCTTAGCGATATGTCAACGACGTACAAACGTCGACAGAGAAATGATAACAATCTTTTGATCTATATGTGTCAGTTCTTGTCTCATTCCCGTTTACGATCCTTTTAGTGGGATACTTTTTGCTACAATGTAAAGGGTTGAGGGTGAAAGTGGGACAAGGACCGATGCGCGGAGAAATGAAAAGATTCATATCATTCTTCTGTTGACTTTCGTACGTTAAGATGCGCATTGCTCAAGTCTATCATTCATTAATAAAATTCCTCTATCTTGAGAGACTTGATTTTATCAAGTCTTCTCGTACAATCAGTCTGTTTATATCGGACGTAGATTTATATATTAAAAATTAATATTCATTATATCAATAGATTAATAAGCTTAAAAAAGAGACTTTATTCATATATATCTAAAATGACAGGAACCGCGTATGTTATTTTGCAAATATTTAGAATAAGAAAAAAATTTTTATATTTATAATGAGAAATGATTCATATCCAAAATAATCGAACAGTTTAAAGTGCTTTGTTCGAAATATAATATATATATATATATATATATATATATATATATATATATATATATTCTTTGTGAGCATAAATTACAAAATTTTATTTGCAACAAATTTTTTCTATGTATAAAATTCTCGAAATAATTAAATTGTGTCAAATGGAACTTGCAATATATGTATTTACATATATTAACGCACACACACACATAAAATCCTTCAATCACTAAATTTATGGTTTTATATATGGATGTAGAGATTATGCATTGTAAAATATACACAGTACAATCTTTGTCATACTTTCACAAAGCAAACGCTGTTTCAGTCAACGTTTCAATTGTTTACTAAGCATATAACATTGCGACGTACACAAATGTTCGCAGAATAACATTTGTCTCGACAGCTCGGCAAACGCGACGATGTCATCGAGCAAAACGACGTACGTACGTGGTTGTGGGTAGCATATACCGTTGGTGTCGCTTGTCACGAACGGGGCTTCCATCCAACTCCTTGACGATGGAGAGGAGATACATTACACAAGGTCTTTAAACGGAAGTCTCGTACAAATAGGCAATCGGACAGTGCAAGCAATATCATTCAACGCGTATTAAGCGGTAAATAATTTGAGGATCGATATAACCTAAAGTCTCTATAAAATTCGCCTTCCTATAGGTATATGTATATATTTATTCGCGATGATCTGTTATTTATACAGAGATTAAAACACCGCAAAAATGCGCGGCAAATTCTTTTACGCATATTAAGATATTCTTTTCTTGCTGATGATTGAGATATTTAAAATATATAATATATGTATTTAAAAAGGAAACGATGTACTCATTCGAAAAACAATAAAAACGTAAGTATTATAAAATATAAATATAGAAATATTATAAATATTTTATAGTGCTTATCCCAGGTAGCAAGCTGACGTAATTAAACGTCAAAATGACGTTATTTTGATGTCAGTTTTTGCTACCAGGGATGGTTTTTATAAATTCTGGAATGAGTATATCAGGATTTTTTTTTTTTAGATTTAGATAGAGAATTTTTGCAATCACATTTTTCATTTATTTGCTCGAAAGTTGAATGAATATTATGAAAATTGTGATGATACAGTTAACAGGGAATAATCTAATAAATATTTATAGATAAAAATTTTCATTTTACAAACTTTTTAACAGCTAAAAATTCGAATTCGAAAATAAAATATCGGTGTTTTGACACCTTTCTCGTATAATTAGTTCGTAATATACAATTCCTCTTAGGATTGCAATTAAGGTTGACGCCGACGTTGATAGAGTAATTTTGTGTTTTTTTACACATCGCGTGTAAAAGAATGCGAAAACATCATTATCGTACATTACACTTTGCGATCTATTACGATACACAAGAATTTAATGATGCACTTCCTAGGTCGCGCGGGCGTCTGCATAATTATCGCGATAAGTAGCTTCTTCAGTTGCTTTTTTCTCCCTTAATCCACAATCCAAGTATTTACAATTTTATTGATTCACCACATAGTTGCAACGTGCGCAAAGTCAGCGCTGGGAGAGCCCCAGGTTAGCGGAAATTGTTAATTCTTAGTACCGACCGGCCGCATATTAGCACTGATTACAGTAGTTTCAGTAATAACCGAGCTTAGAGAGGCACCAACACACGTCCGTATACGCGGACGCATCTATAAGCGATATTTAAATCTCAAGAACCGAAAACCATTATTTTCCTGTAACGGAATCGCGTTACATTCCGATATTGTAATATCGTAGATGTGGAAAAAGTTCAATATCACGAATCAACGGGCAAAACTTCACTTCCGAAAGCGGTAAATGGATGAAAATGGAAATGCGCAGAGGAAGTAAGAAGGTAGTAGAACGCGCAGTAAAGTATCATGTAAGAGGAACGAACGTGCTGAAATATGAATATATCGAAGGAGAGAAAAATGCGAGAGAGAGAGGAAGGAAGAGATGCGAGAAAATAGCAAGAAGGCCGCACGAAAACGCTTATGTGGTGAATCGCGATGTTTCACGGTGAATTCATCCGTTGAGATTGAATCTTGCCTCGATTCCACAGATTCGCCTTATTTCGTTTTGGTTTCTTATTCGCTTATGTGCGATCATCGTCGTTCCACTTCCACTTGTTTTGCGTTATATCTCGGTATTTCGCGGCTTAAAAGAGCACTCGACATCTTTTCTACGACGAGAGGATGTATTTTAATGATATTGACAGAAAAAATACACGTCGAGTAGTTTAGAAACGAGATGCAAGATGGAATTGCATCGAATTAGAGTAAAATCGGTGAAATGCCGCAATATATTTATTTCGCATGTATGAGAAATGCGTAATATATATGTATAATCTAATCGTGCAATAAATTCATGTGTTAAGAAATTTCTGTGGGAACAATTTTGAAATTAACATTATTTCGCGCGAGGAAATTAAACTTCGATTGAAATTCTGTATAAGCAATTTGAAATATAATAGATTTTGTTTTGATTGTACGTTGTATGTTTGACACACTTGCGTAAGAGGCCGTCCGATGTCTGACAGATGGCATTCTTCATTTTTGTCACATTATTTATTGATGATTTTTCGAATGTCATGTAATCGAATATTTATATAGTGTATTGCTCGAAAAAATTCCTTTATAGGTGACAACATCTGCGTTCCAGATAAGCTCGACCGTCCGAGAGGTGCATATAAAGAGAGTATCAGGCTAACGTGAATTCATAATAACGGCGGATATTTTATTTATTTTGCCTTCGGTGTACGTACACAGTGTGAATTTGCAAATTATTAAGCACACTGGAGTCAAGAGTTACACGACAGTAATTGCTTTTCGTCTCTCTGGTGACACGCTCCATTTATTTAATAACCATCAATATATTCTAAACTCCCACTTCCTATATACAATGATTTTTATTTTCTCAACACGCATCTCTTATGCGTCGCGCACATCATTGACTACCGATTTATATTATATATATCCAGGGTGAGATATGTACAGAGAATATGCAACATGAATCGTGGACGGTTATTTAGCCCCGGCTCTCGAGATCGATAATCTGACAGATACATCCTACGCAGCATCGATTTATACCTTCCGCGGTGTACTTTATACATACATTAGAAATTCACGCGCGCACATCGGCCCCGTTTTCATCCTCGATTCACGCTCCGCAAGGATATGCTCTCTTCGTGTCAAGGTAACTGTACCGCAATATCGTTCCACATAACGACGCCGCGATAGGTACCTCGATACGACGCTTTACTGCTCGTTTTGTCCTGCAGTGCGGACTGTAGATTACGAGGATTAGGATCGCGCAATGAGCGTTCACGTGTATTTTTTTGGTCGATGATAACACGCTTGAGATAAGAGCACTCCATGTGTAAAACGGTACGAGCTCGTTTTTAGGGACCCCACGCAGTGTCCGAGATACTTAGGTAATACTTTAACGAATATAAGAATCTTTTGTAGCCAGAGGCAAGAGCGAATTATCTCTCGAAGGACGTCAAGAGATACCGAGGTACGCGATTTATGCAACCGCGGCTCGTATTATTCAATCGATTTGATGTAATGTTGAGTTGTATATAAGTGGATTCGCGCGATAAATAGGAAATAAAACATCATTGAACGACTTCCCGCACAGCGAAATTACTTGCTGCTACTTGTTGCTTCTTAATCGATTTTATTTTTATTTGAAAAATATTTTTTTTATAATTTTTTTAAATATTTTTTTTGTGGCAGAAAGAATATTATATAATTAGTTGTGGTTTCATGTTTTTTGGATTTATTTCTTTATGGCGGATAAAATTAACACGCCGCTATTTGCGCCCTAATCATCTTTATGTAAATTGATTGAAAATTCCAGAACATTATGCAAATTTGTTATCTTAATATCAATCAAAAATAATTTAATCAATTAAAAAAGTAATCAAAAGTTTTGCGATAAATGTCAAGTTGTCTTCGACTATCGGTAAACATTTTCTTGTTTAATGAAGGGTTTAATTTTTATCGATTGCGGAATAAAAAATAGAAACGCGAATACAATATTATACAGCCATTAAAAATTATCTCATGTGTAATTAGGTGACACTTTTAAGAATTTATAGCCATACCTTCGGATAATTATGCTCGAGACTTAATATCACAGACTTTCATGCAAATCGACATTCCTCGAGATTTTTTTTACCATGCTTGAAGTGTTTTTTATTTGCTTAGCGACAGCTCGAGAAAATTAGATACCGGTTCATCACCCATATTTCGCAAACAAAACGATATCAGAAAAACCTGTCCCGGTTAAGCCGTTTACGGTCGCGAAAATAATATAACGGTCACCATAAACGTGCGTATGCACGACTGGCCCCTAATCCATGAATGGTCAGGGGGGTCGTGTTTAATCACGTACACTCACCTACGTTGAAATGATTAATGAGCATTTAATTAGAACGGTGTGAGTGGGTGATCGCGTTTTCGATTACCGTTTGCGCTCCGTGAATGCAGCATGATGAATTACTAGGTCATTAAATAAAGATAACACTATCGATATTTAATCAGTATCACGCTCGCGGATCCTTGAAGGTTGAAAACGAGATGAAACATCCTAGCAGGATGTCAATTTCCTGGGAAAATCGGAGATTGTTAGGAATTTTTTTTAAAAGTTCAAGAATTTTTTCAAATATTATGCTTTATAATTTAAATAATTAAAACCAGCAAATAGTCGTCTGTGTTCTTATTCTTTGAAAGGTGATATCTTACAAATATCATTCAAAATTATTCAGCTTGTACGATTAATTAATTCTAAAATTTATAATAATACATATAATATACCTTATAATTTATTTTTTTCTATATGTCAAATCATATTCTTGTCTTTCCTAAAGATTTTTAATTATTAGTAGTGCTAATTAATTTTTCTCATGACTTTATTTCAGATGAGGAACACAAGTTCTGCAGTCTGAGAGGATGTGGAAGTCCTGGAGACATCGAACCACAGAGGAGCAGTAAGGTAATTTATTATTTTGGGATTGTACGTTAGAGTTTTTACGCCTCTTTTTAAAACGCTCGATTTTCGAAACAGATCTATTATTTTAGAATTTTTCTATATTTCTAACCATTTTCTTTCGTCTTCTAAAAAATTTCAATGATTAGCAACATTAATTATTTTTTACATAATTTTACAAATAGCTAGTTGAAAGTCTAATGTTATTGTCAAGTATTTAACGTTTCACAAAACTCTACTCAGTTATTAAAATCAGATATCTATTTTATTAAATTTATAATCATTATAGCAGCATTAGATTATACCTTTTTCAAAAATGAAGCATCTTGAAGAGATAATATCGTTTTATTTGTACAATTATCGCAGGAAATTAATTTTTTATTTTACTATTTATCAATTAATCCGTTAAAGCCAAAGGACGATATTTTCTTTAACAGTTTAAGTAGACTGTAAATATGTATATAGTCAATATTTATGTGACATTGTGCGTCTCGATAATTCCTCTTTTTCACGCACTAAGTAGTGTGTTTCCACAAGGGCGACGCAAACATATAATAATCGACGACGAAATAAATTCTTTGCACACTCGTCGGGTTAGCTTCCAGTCGTTCGATGTTGGTTAATTTCGCGCCGGAGGCGGCGAACGCGTATACATACATGTCGCATTATATATACGATGATCGAAAGCGATTACGAAGGGGTGCATTGCTGCTGTTACTCGCGAAAGCGAGAGAGAGAGAGACTCGCCTCTCTTATCCGGCTCTTGTTACATGAGCGAATTATTCTGCGCGCAAGGGGCGCCCTAATGGCGCACGTGTGGACGGCCTTAATAATCGTAGCACGTCCCTATAGCGATTCGAGACGGTTCATATTGCCGTTGCTCCTGATTGCCAATAAACCCTTGGGCACGTTTTTAGGGTCGGATTATACAGTTTCGGCGAGGAATCTGAAATATAATGAGCGTCATTTGTACGCGATCGAAGCGTCTCCGCTAATATTTATCCCATCGCGAGAAATCAAATTTTGATATACGCAATTGAGGATTAATTTATTGCTACTTTATATCACATTTTTGGCTCTCACCAATTAGCAGAAAATTTATGTTTAAGATGAGAGTACTGATTTATTATTGTTGGTTTGGAGTAATGTCGTAAGTGCCACTCCGAGTTCTCAATAATAATTTTTAAAATAATATTGATTAGCCGGATAAATTATTTTAATGCGATTTTTGCATCTAATTGGGACTGTTCGGGTTGAACTATTTTTAATAATTTAAATTTATTGTTAGCGTATTTCGCCTTTTAATTTTGACATAATTATTTAATTTATTTTGACATTGTATTGCGACTTTTTATTAGAATTTTTATTTATATTTATTTATTTATTATAATGATTATTGCGCACTGAAGAAGACTGATTGTGAGTACAGTCGAAACGTTTGTAATTGGTTTTTTTAAATTAAAGTTTTCCAAGATTTATAATAATTTTTTATTTGCTCGTTACACATGGCCTCGTAATAGTTAATAAGTTATCATTGTGTCTGATTTATTATATTAAAAGAATTTTCTCTTAGAATTTACCCTGAAAATTATGGTAATCGAGAGACGACAATATGGCGTTGGATCAATTTTGTAAGAGTTTCTCTCATTAATATTGCATATATAAAAATAAAAATATTAATATAAATATAAATTGAGTGTCAAACAGGCAATAAAAGCCAAATCGCGGATGACAGTGCGTTATCCCAACGAAACTAAATTTTTTCGTTAGGATTAAAAACCTGTGCACAAGGCACTAAATTTTACTTGGACACGGCCAAGATTTTTAAAATTGGAATAATCTCTTGTAGAGATTTTAGTGCCTTGTGCACAGGTTTTTAATCCTAACGAAAAAATTTAGTTTCGTTGGGATAACGCACTGTCATCCGCGATTTGGCTCTTATTGCCTGTTTGATACTCAATTTATATTTATATTTATAATACAGAGCCTTGTTAAATTCTTAAAAATATTAATATCTATCACAATAAGATATAAAATATGTTCGATTAATTTTACTATGTACATATCAATATATTTTTTATTGTAGTAAATATAAATCTCAGAGAAACTCATAAAATTCTTCCAATATCACATTGTTCCACGATTACCATGATTTTCATGGTAAATTTTAAGAGAAAATTCTCTCTGTGTATATTTCTGAAAAACACTTAAAGCGAAAATTTACAACAAAAACAATTGTAAATATACAGAGTTGATCATTAATAACTAATTGCTTTTTTAAAAAAAAAGAAGATATTGCAAGTATTTCAAAAATATTAGTGACAAATGATTCGATGAATTAATTCATTATAAATATGTATAATGAAATGATTCATTATATAATGAAATAATGTTCGAAATAACAGAAAGAATGATAAAAAATCTGTATAATCGTAATGTAAAATGATTGATGTCTGATACACAATGGAACATTGCTTTTCTGCTTTCAGGTATGTAGCACTTGAAATTAAAATAAAATACGAAACTGGCGCCGTGCGAGATTAATCGCCGACAGGAATCGTCGGGCCGCAAAAGCCACGACGGAAACGGATTTATGATGTAAGTATATGCATTCATTAGCATTACATAGCGATGTACGGTGATTTCCCGCAGACCTGGGGCTCGATCTCCGTCGGCTATTAGTCAAGAAGGGCTACGCGAAAGAGAGAGAGAGAGACGATCTCGCTATTATATGCGACGAGATATATACGTGCTTTTACCAACACGCACACACATGTGCACGTGTTCGTGAATATCCCTCGCGACATTCCGCGTATAAGCAAAGGAAGATGAAGCGCCGTTGACGAAAGATCCATAGGTCGTATTCCGTGGCACCGTAGACTCGAGTCTACGTCTCCGAGAGACGCTTGGATTAAATTATTACAGTCTCTCGCGAGCAAAAGGGCACAAAAGGGATGAAGGAGCAAGGTTTTACATCGCGAGAAAGGGACTTCGCGGAAAGTTATATGTGTCGTAGAACCCTACGGAGAGTAAGTTAAAACGTCCGGTTCTCACTCTCTCTCTCTCCAATCTATATAGGAAAATAAATTCTTTCTTTGATCTCAAATTAAATTCGTTCTTCGATCTCAAATTAAATTACCGCCGGCCCCGCGGCGATATTCGTAAACGTATTCGTCGACGAATGTTTTTCTCTCGCGCTGTATTTTATTCGTGCCGCGTGTAGGGCACGTAGGGCTCGTGCGCGACGACGGTGGTAATTTTGTTGCAAAAGATGCCGACGAATTAGAGACTGAAAATCTCGCACGCGAGAGAGATCGCGTGCTTTTTCCCGTCTCCCTTTCTTACTCTCGGATTTTTTGCCCCAAGGTGTTAATTGCGCCAGCCCTTATCCCCGATTAACGCCCGATTAAGTTTTGCTGTACAGACGGGGTATTAATTTTTATTTTTATTTATTTTTTTTTTTTTATATCGTGCCGCCTCTCGTTTCGCGGATATGGGAAGATGGCATTTTCTTCAAAGCAGCCATTATACGCGTTCGTAGATTATTAGCGGGCGGGCAGAGCGTTATTAGTCGGGCTGTATCCGCCCGAGCATCTATGCCGCACGAACGTCTTCAGCGGGACCTGTCAATTACACAGATTTATGATACCTCCTTCTTCTCCTCCCGAGTTCTCTCTCTCTCTTTCTTTCTCGTCGTAGCTCTTCTACATCCCCGCGTGTAGCAGCTCATTAATACGAGCCGGCGAAGGTGGGTACCTGAAATAGCAAATAATAATTTTTGATCGATGGTCGCTTTTAATTGCGACCGACTTAATTACAGATAAATACCTCCGCGTCGATTTATCCCGGCGCTTTGCGTTTCGCGAGCCTATCAATCTCCGTATACCGATTAACCCCTCGGAGACCCCACGTGATATCACGTGGCACTGTTTCGCAGCGTGAACTTTGACCGTGTATATATTATAAAAAGATGCTTGATTTTTCTCCGCGCACAAATGATACTGTTAGATTCTTGATTCGCGCTTATTCGCGTTCGTTGATTTTGTAGTACAATTTTTTCTCACAACACTCGCGAGATACAATCGGGGTTTCATTTATTAAAGTGGTGATGATGCAAATTTTTTGTGCACCCCGGATATAATTATAGATAAGTGGGTCGAAGGAGGGTTAATCTTGCGTCTTTCTTCCGAGGAAGAGTATTTAATTAATATTTTAAGACGTTATTGCGCATTCTTGCCGAGACTCGCTCGATACCCGACAAAATAACACTATTTGTCGGCGATAAGATAATTAGTGCTTATCGATATCCAGCTGAGTGCGGCTCTGGAATTGATAGAAGAGTACAATATCCCTTCGCGTATCCTTGCACGATCGGAGATGAATGAGCACGGATGTTGTCGATCGCGGACCTTGCACTTATCACAGATCGTATCTTAACAACGGTCTGTACTCTGTAACTGTACTTGAACTCAACTCGGCAGCGATACGGGTATTATTTGCATAAGAGTACGTTCGCGTAAGATAAGTGCGCGCCGGGATTGCGTTAATTAACGGAGTTAGAGGCAAATCAGCGGCGACTAAACGTGTGTTTAATGGACCACGAATGGTCATTCGATAAGAAAATATACGTTTCGATAAGAAAAATTAAGAAACGCCGCCTAGCGATCGATCGATCGATCGACTGTAATTGGTGTATATGTAATTTTTTTTCAGAATTAAAAAAACAAATTTTGCTCTTATTAAATTGCAACGTAAACTGTCTTGAGAATGTTGCGCAAAATTTTGCATACAATTATTATTTATAATATATTATTTATTAAATTTTATATACAATTTTTTTTTGCTTTCCATCTACAATTAATCACACAAGTCATTTCGGGTGGGTGTTTTATATTAATTAGTCACGCGAACTTAAAAAGTATGAAAACAGGAAAAAAATAAACAGTCACACGCATAAGTTTATTATGGCGGAATGTGAATTTATTTTCCGTCTTGTTTAAGTATAC